TTGGAGGCCATTGCTATTGGGTTGGAGGCCATCGGTATTGGATTGGAGGCCATTGTAAAAATCGGCCATGTGAATATTTTGAAAGTGCCCAGCTGCGAACATCATAGCTGGCACCAGGCTCCAAACCTCGGTCGCAGGATGTCAACATGGGGTTTTCAGAGACGAGCGCCATGCATTGCCAAGAAACAGTAGACGTGGCAAGTCGTCTCTCTGATGTCCAAGCAATGGGGCAGCAGGAACCACAAGCTGCCTGGTGAACCCTAAGCAACATGCGCACCTGTTTGACCCTCCAAATTGTGCAAAGTACTCTAACATGTACTAGTATAATTACGAGTGTAAACTGTGGGGAATCTGCGGGAGTTGCTAAGGTTTTGAGACAATTTCATGCTTGGACTTCATCTGTCTGTGTATTGGCTGAAACTGTTTGCTCTCACAGGGCATTCCAAAGTTCTGAATCAGGTTCCTACAGGTTCGCCTTTTGCACGAAAGAGGACACCATTGCGACCGATCTTCTGGTTCACTCTCTTCTGCGCCTTCAACGGTGCTCTTCAAGAAAACCCGCCACTCCCAGCCGTTCCCATCAAAGGCTAACGCAGGAAAATCGCCACCTCAGGTCGATGCCCGTTCAATGGCCTCCAACCTAATAGCAATGGCCTCCAACTGCTAACGCGGGAAAATCACCACTTCAGATCGATGCTCGTTCCTGTGAAAACAAATTCCAAAGTGGTCGACCCTTCGACACGAGGATTTTGAGTGCTTAGACCGTCCAGAGGCAAACATTCAACTTCTTGTCTGCGTCCTCTGTGCCAAGCTTTAAGATATGAGTATACGCACAGGGAGTGCGGAGAATGTAGATGAACAACTGTATGAACACCCTTCTGTTATCAAGTGGGATAGTAGATGTCGAAAGAGTCAAGGCGAACTCATAGTTTGCTAACTATTTTTTCCGACAGGAACTATCCTATCCGGTAGAGGAGTCCACTCGTGTTGGGACAGTCCACCATCTTAGTCAACTCCTGACAAGCCTTTTACCCCGCAACTGCATAATTTAGATGTGCAAGTGTTCTTCTGGCCAACTCCGGCGCGCGGTCTGTGTTCCAAAGTAAATTGGTGGCCCAAACGCAGGTTCCAAAAAGAGCGTGAATCCAATCCAAAAAATGTCCATGTCCATGTGACTAGTTGACCTTCCATAGTCCAAGAACCCTCCAGAGGCTCCGTACATACTTCTCATATTTTCAGCAGCCTACTAGGAGCAAGGACGCTACTAGGGGCTCCTGGCCTTATTCTCACTACTAGGAACAAGAAGCTACTACGTAGGGGCTCCTGGCATCGCTACTAGAGCGGGGACGCTACTAGTACTAAGGCCAGTAGCCCCCAAAACAAGTGGTTTTCGAAGGTTGTCTTCGTCTGCGCTGACGTCGCGGGGCCATTCCAAGAGATCTCGGCAAAGCCGCCCACGGGGTTCCAAGGGCCACCTGAGGGCAAACAGTCGGCCCTGCACACGCTGCTTAGTTCAAGGGCATTCAAGGGCTTTATGGTTTGGCTTAGGCTTTTGCAAGGGCTTTGTCATGCTTTTTCACAAAGAATGTGGGAAGACTTTGGGTCGAAGAAACCAAGTAACAAAAATCAAGTTCAGCCAAGACACAGAACGAGGACAGTGGGTAGGTCGTAGTGGTGGTCATTGTTGTCGTTGAGGTCTTTGTCCAAGTGGTTGAAATCCTTGGAACTGGGCGGGGCAATCCAGCCGCACTCTAAGTGAATGAATCATCCGCGTCGGGCCCTTGTCGGGGGTTGGACGGGGAACAAAAATCAAGTGATCTGGTTGCACGGCCCATGTATGTGAGTGTGCCAAGTGCAGCGCTGCTTCAAACCCCTGATCAGGATGACTCGCTACTGCCTGGGGCTTTGATATGTTTCTTAAGCAAACTCGAAAAGTTTGAATCAACTGCATAATTCAGTTCACTGCAAAACAACAGTCAACACCACACATGCGCAACATCTGCAAAAAAAAATGTCAAGCAAGTCTTCCAGCCCCAACATTCCCTAAGTCCGTGACCTTTTATATGGTGGTGACCATCGCCCTCAAAGATTTTGGATATCATTTCAACATGCAATCAATTCAGAGACCCGATCTACAGCATGCTGTATGCTTTGACATCGGCAATGCCTCCCACCAACTGTGCTCTCCGATTTTTGATTTAGGCCACACAGCAGAACGGCCCGCAGTGCCAAACACAGCCGCGACACGTGGAGGCCGTGCTGGAGGAGGTTGTCATCGTGGTCTCTGTCGCGCTGGTCGATGTCTCTGTGAAACTGCTCGTGGTCACTGTGGTAGCCTCAGTTGAAAACGGAAACTACCAGTGGTCGGACTTGCCAAGTGGTCGGTCCTTAATTGCTGATCCTTGATTACCCACGGTATTCCACGCAAACAAGCATGCAAAAAAACATTTTTATACATATAATATACATTGCATTTCAACCACCTGTCACTAACCAATTCTCCTGGGAGAGACCCCAGCCAGTGTTCTGAAGATAGGATGGTGAGTGAGAAGATTATGTGTTGTCCCAGTCACGGTGGTAACGGTAGTTGTAGTGGTGGTCTGGTTGTTGTGGGTTCACGAAGCTGCGCGTTTCCCCCGAAATCTGCACTTCCAGGTTCACAAAGTGCTGTGCCTGCCAAGAAACTTGCGCTGCAAGATTCACAAAGCGTTGCCCCTGCCACGAATTCTACAAAGTGCTGCGCCCTACAAAGGTTCTACCTGCCACGAAATCAAAGTTCACAAAGTGCTGCACCTGCCACGAAATCTTCACTTCGAGGTTCACAAAATGCGGTGCACGAAATCTGCAACTCGAGGCGCTTCACATCGCGCAGCCCTGCCCATGCGTTTCACCGAAACGCAGCTTTCGCTCGAGACTTTCCAGTTTTGATAACGAGCCACTTATCAAAAATTCACGATTCACCGCACCTGGCCTGCCATGAAATCGCGCCAGAGACCGCCACCATGTCCCACGCTGCGCCTGCCAAGAAATCTGTACGTCGAAGTAAAGCCGCTCTGATCTCCTGCGCTTGCCACGAAAAGTCGACTTCAGACCACCAAAACACGAGGCTTTCCTGGACCACCAAGTCTGATAATGCGCACGGCACCACAACGAGAGCGCAATCAAGGAAAGCACCCGCGCCAGCCAGAGACCTTAACCATTACCATAAGAACCCTATAGTGTGACCACACTGCTTGGGGAAGAATCTATTTCCAGACCTGAGCTTCCAAACTGAATTGCCAAAGCAAATACCAGCGCAAAGTTACGCTCAATTGATCTCAATTGTCTACTCAAATCTTGTCCCCATCCCATATATGGGGTCGTCCGATTTGGAGTCTCTGCGTGTGCTGGTCACCCTGATTTGCGAGAACCACGTGGTGGGCTTGCGGAGATACCAATGGGTGAGCCCTGTTTTCGCGAAAAACGCCTATGTTTGGCTAAGTTTTAACTGCGCTTTCACGCCCTCTAATGTGTTTCAATTGCCTTTCACCACGTAGTTAAGACCATCAATGTTCACCCCCTTCATACCCGATACCACTGTTGGGGAGCGTTTGGATCATGCTGCGCAAGTCATATTACCCCATGTGTGATGTTTTGCAAACAGAATATGGATTCACCGGGCTACTAGGAACAAGAAGATAGGGGCTCCTGGCTACTAGAGGCTCCTGGCTCTGTGATTCACCGGGCTGCAAAACAGGACTTTCCACAGACCAGTCCCCACCAGTCGCGATGGACTCTGCCGGCAGACTGTTGAGCTGGAGGAGGTCAGTGTGCTGGTGGTGTCAGTCCTGGTCCGAGAGCCATGTAGCTTCTTGTTACTACTAGTAATTACTAGTAAGGCACTTGTTACTACAAGCGATGCACTTGTTACGACAAGCGATGCACTTGTTACTACTAGCTTCTTGTTGCTCCCAACCCTCAAAAGCAGAACATCATGAAGCTGCAGTCACAGTTTGTTACAGTTATTAGAGCGATGGATCAAGCACTTCAGTGCTGAGACAACTGAAGGCCAGATATTGTTTGTTTGGTCGCATGCTACCGGAGTGGACGGCTATTGGCATTTTGGCTATGAAGGTGTTCCCGCTGCAGTGGTATCACATTGCTGACTTCACGCTTCAAACTGGTGAATCTCATTGTAACGAGAAATCTGGGACGTGCAATCATGGCTTGCCTTCCTCTCGTGCACTGTTTCCTCGATTGCTCTACCTCTCAGGACTCGGTTGAAGGTGCTCGGAGTGGCTCCGAGTCAGCATTGGCGGTTTAGAAGGCCACTCACACAGCTATTTGGCCCATGAAGGCAGGAACAAAACCTGAAAGGAAAACACAACTTGAGCCTGGGCGCTCTTTGTGTCTTTCACTCTCTCCTGGCTGCCCCTGCCAGCCTCAGCCCTGCACGAAAGCGCAGGAAAGCGTGCCAAACGAAGGTAATGTGTGATGTGGTTGAGTGTGCGGCATCCCGCGGGCTTATGTAGGTAGCTGCTATGCGCCAACGAAGCTTCAGGAGGATCGACTCTCCTATGTCTCACTGTGTCTTGACTTCTTGACCCTGCTCTTGGGGCATGCTGCAGAACCACCATAACGTGGATGACCAGCTCGCAGTTCCTATTTAGGCAAAGAAAAAACTCAACCTCAGTGAGCTGAAGATTGCACCTGGTGGACTCGTAGACCCAATCAGAACGGATTTGGGCATTCTCAAACTTTGGCTGAATTCGTGATCAACAGAAGTTATTAACGCTCCAACCAATCTGAGGTAGCCACGAGTCACTCGCAATACTCTTTCGCTCCAAATCATTGACATGGAAACGCAAATGGCCCCTGGGAAGACTAGTTTCCTTTGCACATTACAAGCAGTGGGCTTTTCCACTTCTGTGTTCGTTGGAGTTTACTCTTGGTTCTCATTTTGAGCCATTCGTCCTCGATACGGGGATACGCCAATGGCGGTCGCACCAACCAGTCCGGGTTGCTTTGGGTGCTGGACTTGTTGGTTTTCCCCACAAAGTTCCAGCTGAAATGTTCACATAGCCACAATCTGAAGGAAAATGACAAACCTTTTCTCAGGTTGCTCTAAGTCTATAATTATCGTGAACAATCCTTCTGCTGTTTGCAAAAACCACTTCTCACTGCCCCTGGTTCCAACCAGCGGCAACGAGTCAATACCAAGCTTCCAGGTCCGTGTGATGGAGGTCACGGTGTCTGTCACCGTGGTCCTACCGGAGAAGTCACAGGTCTCGGGACAGGTCGGGTGCCTCAAAGGTCCCAAAGCCACCAAAGTGAAGAGACCAACATCGCCTAAAGGGGCATCTTGGTACAAATGTGTGATATAAAAAACCTTCATAACGGATGTGATGTTGGGCCCTTAGTTAAAATCTCTTCTCTGGTCCTAGATATGCTGGTGATCCACAGTGATATGATCCGGACAAAGGCCATAAACCCTTTGATTTATCGCCGCATCAACCCTCTCTAGAGTCGTGTTGAGTCGTGCTGCGCAATCCGAGTGAATGTCCCAAACCCGCGGCAAAGTGGCCACTCGTGGAGGCTGAAGGACCGAAGGAGGTTTTCTGTTTACAATCCGTTCCATCTGATCACGTTCTGTGATTGACGATACCGTTGCTGGCCAAGACCGGAAAATCAAAACACCAAGCGGTTTCACAACGCAGTGCCACATCCCGTGCCGCTCCCGGTGGTGGTGATACTCGTGGACGTTTCAGAGGTGGAGCTGGTAGTAGTCCTCAGTGAGGTAGATTAGTCGTAGGCGTTTGCTTGATGAGGATCAAGGGATAATATGTACATTATGTGTGTTCTTCTTTGAACAGAAACATTCAAGCGAACTCCAATGGCTCCAATTAAAACGGTTCTAAGAATGCATGTGCTGTCTGTCTATAATGCCTCCATGACATTCACATGGAAGGGATGGCTTGGCTTCTGAAAGGGAGAGGGAGGAGGAGAAGGAAACAAACAGATCCCAAATTTTATACTGAACTTTGATTATAATATATTGATATCTGATGTGCAAGACACTCGGCCGAAAGAAGCCCTCGGGATCCCTCGGGTGTCGCCTCGATGTGCTGGTCAAGGTCACGGAGCTGGTACTTGTGACGCTCGAAGTCGTCAAGGTCTTGGAGGTGCTGGTGACCTCGAATCTTGCTTAAAACATGTTTTTACAATAGCAATGGCCTCGAACCCAATAGCAATGGCCTTGAACCTAATAGCAATGGCCTCCAACCCAAGCGACTGTGATGGAGGTCTGCGTGGAGGTCTTGCTCGTGGTGCTGCTGGAAGTCACAGACGTCGTCGAGGACTTGGTGGTGGTGGTCAAGGTGCTTGTGGAGCTGGCGGACGTAGTGCTGGTTGAACTCATGGTTGTGGTGGTGCCTCGGTCCGATGGAGTCGGAGGTTGTTGACAACGAGTTGAGGTCTAAAGAAGAACTATGGAAGGGGTTTGGGGAACTTCTTGAAAGCTCAATTGCTCTGGCCACTTTCCAATGTGTGAGGTATCAAGGAATCCTGCGATGGTGATCAACATGGAATGATTCTAGGGGGATGGCTAAAACAATTGTTGCAACTACTTCACACACTCCTGAAGTAGGACCTGATTATCAGGTTTGTCATGGATCCAAACACTATCACTGAACAGAACATTGGCAATCCAAGAACAGTTAGGAGCAAATGCCTCAACGACTGTGCGTTCTCCACTGTGACTCCAGTGATTCACCCAAACTCTTCCCATCTCCTATCCGCCGCCATCCGCTCATCCGCCCACTGTTTTCGTGTTCCGTCTCTTCCACAAATCCCAGTGGCTGCTGGTTCGCGAAGTGCTGGTAGAGGTTAAGGTGGTCAAAGGCGGTACGGTGAACGTGGTGGAAGAGGTTGTATAGGTGGAGGAGGTGCTGCTCTCACTCGTGGAAGTGACCTTTGGAAACATGTGCAGCATTCATGCGTCATATGCATGTGAACCTGTGTTGGACCCACGGCCAATTCCGGACAATTGCAAAGATCACAGGTGGGGATTTGAACTCAAGTGTCAAGCAAGCGGGTCTCTTGCATGGCACATTTTACTTTGGCCGTGCTTAGGTGGTACAAACAAAATGCTGCCTTCAACCATTGTTGGAGGCAAACATCAATTCATTTTCTTTCAAGACTGCCTGGGGGAATGAAGGAATCTATATATATATATTATATATATAGATACATAACCACTTACATCCAAGAAATGTATTGGAGTCGAAACTTGGTTTGCGAGTTGAGTGTGCCCATCATCACTGCATGCTAAAACCGCAGGATTGAACTTCACCTAGCCGCCTCAGCTGATGTCTAGAGTATTAAAGAACGAAAACTCCGATAAGGACACTCACACACACACACATATTCTTTACACAAGCATTAAAGAATATCATGTATAATATTAAACCTATATGTGAAAGAGTAATAATAATATAAAACAATATAATGTAATAGCACATATACAATATGAGTATGTTTCAAAAATACTTATGCGTGTCCACCCCGCCCCAAACAGGCCCTGGGCGGTGCTCTTTCTGTTCAGGTGTCCCGGCCGTGTCGGTCATCGTGGTCACCGTGATTGTGGTGGGAACAGCTGCGCAGCTGGGACCGCCGGGACCGTTGATCAAACACGCTTGGCCTTCCTCGCAGTTGACTCCTGTAGCGAGAAAAGCGAATGGATGACCACTCGACCACTTTGAACAATTGATGTTTTGGTCTCAATTGAAATCTGGAAAGAACGGGCCTGAACAATGCCGTCTTGGATTCCACTCACTAGTCAAACTTGAAACGAAAGACCCGGTACTACTGTATCATCCCACAAGCCTCAAGCCTTTCCGTTTCTTCCACAGCGGTTGAACCCTTCAATTGACAAACACGATCAACTAATTTGATCAGAATTGGTTTGCTGGAGAGACAACATGAAGATAAAGGCCTTCATTTCCTTCTAGAACCTAACTAATCAACCAATATTTCCGACTATATCCTATTGGTCCAACCATTTCTTCACGTTTCTGCTGTTCTTGAGTGTATTCATACTCTGAAACATGGGATACAAATGCAAAGATTGCATCTCTGAAAGGCCGTCCCTTTGCTCGGCATTATGCGGCATTCTCCTCCACAATTGCAGGGATAGGCATCAAGACCCAGCTCATATTGCAAACCATTCACGAAGGAGCCTGGAGGGCGGTGAATGCGGGGGCTCATTGTTGGCCGAAAGCACGACAATAGGAAAGAAAAGACTCCAGACCTGTTTGACTCACGACAAACTTGGTGTGCAAAAATTGAGTTAAAAAAAGACAAGAATGAATTGCACAATCAAGGGCCACAGAACTCCACTCTGGACCTCCAGATCTTCTCCGGAAATTGGGTGTCCGGACATCCTCGGGCAGCCAAGCCGGAGAGCTCTGTCCGCAAGTTGTCGATGATGGCCGGACGGTCCAGGGGACCTCACCGTACGGCCAAACGCGGCCCATGAAGGGTTCAACGGCGATGTTCTTAAGCGAAGACTTTGCTTTTTGTTGGAATCTGAAATTCGGATGTTCGTCTAAAATTCGGATGGTGACAAACTGTATCTCTCTCCGTTTCACGTCACCGAGGATGTGGTCCACACAAGACCTCATCATCTTTTGTCAGGTGTTGTTTTCGATGATCGAGGACAAAGGGATCTGCAGCTCTGCATAAACATCATAAAAGATGACATCTTGTCATTGTTGAGCAGGAGAGGAGGTCCCTGAGAGCACGGAGTAAGAAAGTAAACGGATGAAAGCGTTCAACCAGGAAGACCTTTGGGATGAGAGCCTTTCGGTCAAAAGGGCGACCCCCGAAGAGTTCGGTCTCTGGAGACCGACAGACTGGCCGTTTTCGTGTTGCCGCGCCACCAGAGCTGCACACATCGATCATGCAGTCCTGACCCACAGCGAGGAAGGAGTCGGAGCGGCGACACCCACTTGTGAACTCGAAGTTCACCTCTTAGAGCGAAACTTTGGAGATTTTTGTTGAAAAACACATCAGAGTTTCACTCTCTTCAGCCGCCATGGAACCTGTTCCAGCACCTTCAAGCAAATTGAGTTTGATGCCCATGATCTGCCTACCATGGGTCTGTTTCATGTCCAACCGACATGAAACCTTTGGGAAGACCATGTTCCTCCTGTCAAAGGAATTTGTTTGATGTTAACATGGTGAACAAATCGCTTTGATGGAAGACTCTCAGGCTTTCCACTCAGTCAGCATTAAATTTGGATCTTTGCCCATTCTGAGAAAAGAAACACCACACAACACCACGTTGTTCAATCAACGTTGGATGCAGATCGTCAAATCGGAGTGCTTGAGCCGGGCCCCTGATCGCTCCAACCTCCCTCTCTCAGGTTGACCGACATTCCGAACCATTCCGAACCTGGATTTGGCACAATCACTATGGTCTCATATGGTCACCATGGCACCCTATGGCACCTGTCATACATTGTGCTGGTGTCGACAAAAGGCCAACTGACCCCCTGAGTCGCAATATCATCCAGCAAGAATGGACACCTACCTCAATGGAACGGCCTGTGCTGAAGATCAGTTTGATGGAAGTGTCTTCGTCTGGTTTCTGCTGTTAATGGATTTGGGAGAGTTAGGCTCATGAAATCACCAGCAGAATTGCTGCTGAACTGGACTCGCCCTGCGTTCCACCATGTTGCACCACTGGTCGTACAACGTAAGCACCAAGTATAGCACCAAGTGTAGCACATGATGCGGAAGCGCAAGCCGCAAGCGTTGCTACCGCTTTCGATCCGACGAGGCGTCAAGCCGTCAAACCGCACCGCAGCCGCACCTCCAGGGAGCTATCCATATCCTCTTCCTCTTCAGTGACGACAGCGTTTGGCTCCAAGTTCCGCGCTGGCCAAAAAGCGGGAACCAAAGCAAGAATCACCTTGCACATGGCCTCTGCTTGCCTTAGTTATCGAAAGCTGAAAAGCTGTTTTGATTCCCAAAAGCCTGAACTTCTCCGTTTCCGTGAACAATGCGTTTCAGTCAATCTGAGCCATGACGCGCCACAGTCAAGCCATCCTCTGAGTTTTGGCACGCTTCCACCACTGCGGCACCAGGCACCTTAGCCGCGCTTCACCAACATCTTCACCCAAACATAGATAGAAAATGAGAGGACAATATAAACAACTCAAATAATTAGCTTCTGGGGAGTTGAGGTTGTATTTTGAGGTCATCATCTTGTATACACCGAGAAGATCTTGGGTGCCACAAGGGCCTCACAATAAGCGTACAGCTAGGTTCATGAATTCATCATAAGGTTGGAGATGGTTGGAGCACGTCCACCCCGTGCTGCGCATTTCTTGGGAGACCAAAAATTACCTGACGAATGGCAAAAGAGTTGTCGCCAAGAGACATTCAGGCTAGGAATCTTGCAAACGCCTTGGGTGTTGTTACTCGCACGGGTTTGGACACATTCTGGGAGCGGAGAGGTCAAAGACCCTACCCGCTCCACCCCGAAATCATTCCTGCCTCATCCTGCCTCTGTGAATTAGCCTGAACAATGGGTTTTGAAAGGAATAGCAATGCTAACAAATTGTGAGAGCTCTCAATGAGTTTTCGACGGCAAAAGCACACAACAAATCACTCAGTTTTTTTGAGTGCAAGCAAGATTCACATCGCGTCATTGTATCTCTTGGTGCTGCACCCAAGATCCTTTGTTGGGGACATGGGAGAAATCTCTAAAAGGACCAAAGAACCACTACAGTACAACCAAATGCATGACCTGCTGTCTGAACGGCAGCAATTGGGTCCAGGGGCGGGAAATATTATGAGCTAGTCTAGCTAGTCTAGTTGGATAGGCCTCAAAGGTCTAGTCTCGTCTCTGGTTGTGGATGCTGTTTGTGTAAATTCCAGTAGTAACAAAGCCATGCACTGTATTGATTGCAGGTCTCTCGGTCTCTCTAGTCTATGTATGTGTGTATGTGGGTGCGCGTGCAATATGTGCTTGTGTGGATGTTTGTTCAAGATGATAAATGAACACTTGACTAGTGACTTACCGGTACCCGCTGAGATCGGACTAGAGTCAATTCTGAGGGTGACATGGATGTTATACCATATCCAATGAATCTTTTCCTAGAGAGAATGTCACAGGTTGAGGAATGGCATGTCATGCAAATGAAACACTCCAAATGTAATTGCGAGTTTTAACCAAAAGACCTGTTCAGCTGGGAACCGAAAGTGACAATTGTTCTTTCGTCTGGTCCAAACCCTGGCATTGGTGGCGATATTCATTTATAGTCCCTCAATTGAGTCGTGCACTAACAAGCACTGATCATTTGAGCTGAGTCAACAACTCAGTTTTCTTTAAAAAACACACACCCGGATTGTCGTAATTAGTGGCTGCTGTACCAAACAGCATAAGGCCTACAGCACAAGTGCGCGATAACTTTTTGGTGGCTCATTTGAGAGGTGATGACTCTAGGCTAGTTCTAGGCAAAAACACATGCCGCTGAGCCGCTCTATATATATATATATATATACACACGTTCTTTCGCAACGTGCCTTCTTGTTCTTCGGCGTGCAATCATGAGAGTTGGGATCATCCACCATACCGACCTGACCATCCGTGCATCTATCAAAATTCTGTGAGATTAGTTACGACTATCAAGTGAAGATTGCATCCTTTTCACTCATTGCACAGTGAGAGCCAAAGCAAGGCAAAGAAAAAACACACAGTCAAATCTGTGGGTGTCATGGCTCATACAGTGTAGTGTAGCTCATGCTTAAGAACAAGCAAAGGAATCAAACATGTTTTCTTGAACCAAACATCTATCCGCCGACCCCAGCCTAGCTGACGCCTAGGCGGGGACACCGCAGGGAGGCAGCCGTTGCCAGGCGACGTTAGGCAGTGGCCACACCAGCCTAGAAGGCCTTGGCCTGCACCTCTTTTCTTTAGGGCTTCGAAGGCGACGTTAGGCACTGGCAACGGTCACACCAGTCTAGAAGGCCTTGGCCCGCACCTCTTTTCTATAGGGTTTCGAAAGCAACGTTAGGCGCTGGGCACACCTCCCTTCCGACCGCTGTTGCGGGCAGAAATAGATGGTGTTTGCCTGGCTGGAAACCCTGCGCAGACGTCAGGCACTGGCCACACCAGCCTAGAAGGCCTTGGCCTGCACCTCTTTTCTATAGGGTTTCGAAAGCAACGTTAGGCACGGCACGCCCCCTTTCCGCTGTTGCGGGCAGAAATAGATGGTGTCGTTTGCCCGGCTTGAAACCCTGCGCAGACGTTAGGCACTGGCCACACCAGCCTAGAAGGCCTTGGCCTGCGCCTCTTTTCTTTATCCCCAACATAGGCCGAAGACAGCCAACATATCCCAACATATGCCCAACATAGCCTCCAAGATGGCTCAACATAGGGCCAACATCAGCCAACACACGCCAACATAGGCCCAACCTAGGCCAACATAGGCCTAACATAGGGCAACATAGGCCCAACATAGGCTCAACATGGGCCCAAGATGTGCCGAACATAGACCACATGGGCACAACTTGGCTTCAAAGAGAGAGAGAGAGAGAGAGAGAGAGACAGAGACAGAGACAGAGAAAGAGAGGAGAGGGAGAGAGAGAGAGAGAGACAGGACCCAGCCCTACACAGACCCAAGTGGGCCGGCGCTCGGCTGTTAGGCGTAAGCCTTTAAATCCGGGCGCCGGCCACGAAGCCCGTGCCCTGCCCGGAGGGCCTTCGGTGGTAACCGAACGTTATAGACGCTCCCCTCGTCACGAAAAACGGGGGGACCCCGTCGTCACTTCCGGTTCACTGAAGCCCCTGTAATTTACAATGTATTATGTGTGTGTGAAGTATAAAAAGCACTGTGCTTTATTGGGTTTATTGCGCATATCGAAGTACGACGCGGCGAAGATGGAGAAATGCCAAAACGATGTGTTTTTCAAGGGTGGTGTCGGTAATGCGCGCCGGGCGGACAGGCATAATCGACATTTCGTGGGTAGAGGCCCTCCCGACGACTTAAATTGCCTAACATATCTTCAAAATAGGCCCAAGATAGCCAACATATCCCCAACATATGCTCAACATAGCCTCCAAGATGGCTCAACATAGGACCAACATACGCCAACATAGGCCCAACATAGGCCCAACCTAGGCCAACATAGGCCTAACATAGGCCAACGTAGGCTCAACATAGAGCGTCAACATGAGCCCAAGATGTGCCCAACATAGACCACATGGGCCCAACTTGGCCCAACCTGGGGAGCAGTTTCCCACCTTGCCCCCACCCAGCGCCCTGCACGACCCCGATAGCTGCACGTGCACCCGACCCAGCCCTACACAGACCCTAGTGTGCCGGCGCCCGGCTGTTAGGCGTAATTAAATTTTGTCTTTTTGAGAGTGCTGATGGTCCGATTGTGTGATTTCTGTCGCCAAGTCACGCATTCTGAACCTTTTTCTCGGCAGTACTCGCCGCAGCTCTTCTTTCTTCTCAACATCTAGGCAAGAGCCAAGCATCGAACGGAGCGATTGACTCCAAACAGGGTATCTACCAAAGGGCTGGATGAATCCCCCGACTAGCGATGGCCTCCAACCTAATAGCAATGGCCTCCAAACCAACAATCGGCGGTTCTTGACATGATTCCACATCTATTTCCCCGGATCAAATAATCTGTCGTCTCCTCCCTTCAGGCCCAGTTACTGTGTACACCACGCAGTTCTTGCCACCACCAAAGGTCTGCCAATCAAGTTGTCAAGAGTGAGTGATCGGTGAAACATATCGTACTTACCTGCTTAGAAAGGTTGGTGTAATTAGACCGCTCAATATCTGGACTCGTGCAAGTTTGTACCATGCTCAGATCAGTCATCGCAAGCCAATGTGAGATTCAAATCCCAAGGTCCCATTGTAGATCAGGTTAGCGGATGTCGCTGATCAACATGCGGAACACTGACTCTGAGACTGTCCTGCCAATAAGAAACAAGCGCATGATCACTGGTCTTGCACTCCTTGGAGCGAAAAGACACATGCGAATCTCTAGGGCTCCCATGCGGAGTTCGACGGCTTTGCCGGAGTGGAACACGACCTACTAGAGTTGGTGGGCCAGCACTTCACCAAAACTCTGCTGACTCACACCCTGGCAACTGTCATATACAAACTACTCTCCAAAAACCGCGTACGAGACAAGACATGTTCCAGAGAGATTCAGATCTGTTCCCAGCTATTCCCGAACTCTTTCGCATGACCTGTGCGCGACCGATGAGGTGATGCGAAATCAGTTGCAGATCAGCGACTGTATCACGACCATCCAGAGGCGCCAAAAAATCACAATCTCAGTGGCCATGGAACGACTGGATATTGGGCAACCCGCGCAATAAATCCAAATGAGACGGCATAACAAACGATTAATTGCTGCATTGCATCGTCATGTATCGATGTGAACACCCCACAAATTCAATACTTCTTGTGAGTGAAACATTTGTGATGAATAGTGCAAATCTATAAACTGCTGACAACTAGACTAGTGTCCACCCAAAAACAAAACAATATGACAATATGGTTATCCTGCAAGCGAACAATTCTCTACGACAGTGTCAACATGGTTTAGGCAGAAAAACTAGAGTCTCAGAGAGTGACCCACAGTTTTTGGTGGTTGTAGCTGAGCAGTGAAAAACTTGGTGTCCCAAACAGCAACATGCAAAAGGGACCTTTTCAATTCGTTTTCCCCAACAAACAGCCCATGTGAAAGCATGTTCCGTCTATGTTAATGACCAAGAGGGTATCAGTATCGGCCGACCTCGGCCTGAGCGTGGGAGGGCGCAAGGGAATACACGCCGTGTAGGGTAGCAGAGGTGACTTGAGGCATGCATTGCGAAACAAAGACGTGAAACAGTTCAACCAGTTTCACAGTTGGCATCAGGCATCCGATACTAGAGGAAGCTACTAGGAACAAAGGGCATCGCTACTAGGAGCAAGGACGGTACTAGGCGCTCTTGGCCATACTGCTAGGAGCAAAGAAGCTATTCGTATTTAACTAAAAACTAATTATAGAATTAGTATAATGATATCCTTATTGGTTTGGGAGCGGATTTGTCAGATGTCCGGAGGCATCTCTTGCACGACGCGTTGCAGGCTGCTCCACTATCTCAGGGTTTCAAAGGTTGTGTCCGATGTGAGGGGAGCAGAAAAGCCCATAAGTGCTTCCTTTTCAACGTGGGAGACAGTTGGGGTAAATACGTTCAAATTGCCCTCGACTGAAACTTGTCTGTCTCGGAAAGCGTGATGTGGAGCCAGCTTGCGTCTTGTCCACGTTTTGGCATGGAGCGCCACACAAGAATGTCTGCCGAGCACAAGAGGAGGGGCTTCAGGCATCCACTGGGGTAGCTTTTGGGATCGGGAAAGGTCGAGAGGCCTCAGGCATCCGTTGCGGTAGGTTATTCTCCGTCCGGGTCATGCCATGGCTGTGTTCAGCCAAACTCTTTCCTTGACAGCCCAAGCAGCCCCAAATTAAACCTAATCCATTGAGGTGAAATGAGCGAAAGCAAAGGTGCAACGAACAGCGATGGCATGCGATAGCGTGAGAGACAGGTTCGTGCCGACACAATGTGGTTCAAGTTCTGGCCCAAAGACCAATTCAACTCTTAAAATCTACAGACGATGGCCTCCCTAATAGCGATGGCCTCCAACCCAATCTCACATATCTGAACGGCATTCTTCTTGGGAGGCCTTTGACTCAACCACGCAACTCTGTGTTGGGGGTTCCACGCCACTGAAGTTCCATCAGCAGGAGTGTTTTCAATATGTTTTTGCTCATTCCTGACCCTTGCGCCCAATTAGCAACTTTGCAGTAGCAGGCTCTGTGGCATAAGCCCTGAAATCCAGCTTACTGTGGCGCAAACACCTACAGCCCTGAAGGAGCAACCTTTAGGTATATTGGGGCTGTGTCAGTCGCTGACGTCCTGAAGCTAAAAAAAAGCCTTCTGCACTCATTAGCTGGGGCATGTGGCTCCTGCCGCCGAATGTCAATTTGGGGCTTAAAACGCCTATGTGCAACGGTGCAGTGTTCAAGAAAGGAACTTCTGAATACGAGACATGCGCTTTAAATTTGTGTTTGGACATCTGGCATGGCCTGCTTTCAACCTGGCCGGATTGCTCTAACATGCACTTAACTGAAAGGAAATGGAGGTTCTGTGTGAGAAATGCTGATGAACGCCTGCATGCTCTTGACATGAGCTGAAGTGGCTCTTTGCAGTTTTCTACGAGACGTCTTCTCTTTCACTTCACAAAGGTTCCAAAGAACAATCCACTCAATTGGCAGTTTGGAGTTTGGAGAGAGCCCTGGCCCTGCCAGTGCCACCCAGCAGAAACCTGCTGGGAAAACATTAGAGTCATCAGTCCAACATACATTGGCTGAAACTCGCCCAGACACTGAAGCTGATTGTTGGTGGGGGATTGCTGGTGACACAGCCCTGCGGAGCGTTGCCACCTGCAGGCTGTGTTCTTCAGAACACTTCCAAAGCACTCTAGAACCAAATGAATAATACGAGGGTGAGCTGTCCTGCGTCATGGCTAGTAGTAGGTTACGTAGTTTGCTTCGCCCTCAGTAAAAAGGACAACAGGCTTTAAAGGTGCAACATGTCTTCCTTTCATTTCCTTTCCTTCCGAATCCACTTCAGCCCTTCGGCTCCGATGGGGGATCAAAGGGCTAGCCAGTGCCACGTCACATCGTTGGAAGGTTGAGAACGTCTCTTGATGTGGAACGTCGGTGATAAAATTTGATTCAATTCTATTTTAATTCTAATAGCAAACATTGTTACTACTAGTAAGGCACCTGTTACTACTAGCGTGGCACTTGTTACTAGTAGTAACAAGAAGCTACTAGTACCTTGGCACAATGTCTATGTCGGCATATCCACTCCGCTCTTCAGTAACTGCTCTTAGACCAACGGGAAAATCTACTGCAAGTATCAAGTTAAGAATATCTTGCAACATCTTGACACATATGTTCGCCGGTTCCCCAAACGGGCCATGATTGTTTCATGGATCGTCAAAATCCACCCATCACTGGCCTGAGTTGATACATTGATTGCACCTCAGTGTGTGAATGCAGCACCAAAACGGATGGGCACAAGACGTGCAGTGGCACAATGTGAGGGTAACATAACAGGGTGGTGCAGCAGCTGCAGCAGTTCAGGATGGCCTCCGTCAACAGTATGACCCTGGGTCCAGAGATCAGAACTCAGCCGGCTGTGGGTTGATTTAGTGCACATCGTGCCTGACATTCAGCCACCATACAGGATGGCGTTGTGCGATCTACCAGGTTACGGCTTTGCAGGGTTACCCTCAAGTCGGTATTCAAGCGTCCGATCGCTCCTAGTAGCGACGCCCTTTGCTCCTAGTAGCTTCTTGCTCCTAGTAGTAAGGCCAGGAGCCCCTAGTAAGTAGCGTCCTTGTTCCTAGTAGCGATGCCAGGAGCTACTAGTAGCGTTACCCTCATTCTGAGATACATAACCCTGTCTCACAAACACCTCTACCCTCCGTCATACATACACTCAGAACACTTTGCAATCCCTTGGGTCTGCTTCTATCTTGCACAGTCTTCCGGCAGTGCACACTTGCTTCTAGTCTCATCACACAGTGGGAAGCACACGCACAAACACAAGCTGAGCTCAATGCAGATCGGTGTGTTGCTGTGGAGTGAAGAGCATCTTGCCACCTAGGATTCTGCAGAGCTGCGGGCGTTTGTGGAAACAGGACAGATTGTGACGTTTGGGAAGCTTCTTGGAGTACACCTGTGTAAGATTGCTATGGTTGTTCACCCCTAGGATAAGAATTTGGTCAAAAGGTCCTTCACGGGTCAACACCATTGTTTTGAACCTAGAATTTCCCGACCTCATACAAACCGGTCGACCAGCAAATCTTAACCTTACGCTTCGAGCTTCTGGTAACTCCAGTGCTCCGCAATAGAATGTATTGAGTCTGATGTTTGCTCCGAGAAGCTATCTGGCGCCACATACTCGTTCTTCAAATCTTGTGCTCCACAAATCCCCTCCGCCGTGAGATCCTGCCGGATGCATCGGTGGCTAAGATGGAAGGTGTCTGTATATCCCTTCCATGAGACAAAACCCAAGCAACCAAATCCACTGAAATCCACAACCCGAGCAGCCCGAGCAATGGTGGGATTCCTGCAGCCATGTGGATGACTGCTAGCAGGGATGTTGTCTGTTTCCACGCCTCTCTCTGCTCAAGGATTAAAGTTGCTCCACATGATGAAACCTGAAAATCTGCAAACCAATGCTATGGAGAATCCAGGTTCATGGCCGCACATACAACGCTGCAATGCAGCTGCAAGGCCACCCACGGATAAACAAACAGCCCAGAGGTCCTCCTCCCAAACCAGGAGCTTAAAGTTGTGCATGAAACCTGCCCAAGCTGAATCATGTCAGTGGACACGCTAACAGTCTCTGCGCCCATGTGAGTGGTACGATTTTAAAAATAGCTTTATACCTAATAGCGGTGGCCTCCAACCTACTAGCAATGGCCTCCAAAAATAGCTTTAATGTCTTCAACTCACAGTTTGAGGAGTGAAAACGCAGGGGTTCGATTTCCAGCCTCTCTGAGAGGCCCGGTTGGCAAGAAACACATCTCACAACCCTCAGGTCCCACTCGTCACTTTCTGTGTATAATGATCTAAATTCCTTTATCCGGGATCCGTCATTTTCGCAAAAAAATACTTTAGCCAAACTTTCGCCTTCCTGCGTTTTATCCTTCGCCGAAGTATGTTGTATTTATGTGTGCCATGTCTGTTGTGGCTTGTTCACGTCAACGGCTTCTTCTTTACTGGCAAACACAAAATAGAAACTTCACTGTTTGTCAGCATGTGTCTTCTACTTAACTGTTGACGCCCTGTACGTCTCTTTTGTTTCTCCTGGGTGTCAGCAAGAATCAAAAATAGAAGAATCACTGTAGTAGCCGGTCACTCAAACTTACTGAGAATGGGCTGGGGGTCAGATGTGGCAGGGTGAACTTTCGCCAATCTTGAGCTGAACTTTCGCCAAACTTTCGCCTTTTGCGGGGTAGAGTTTTGTGGCAAAGCCACCCCCCCCAAAGCAGGAGCAGGAGTAGTAGTAGTAGTAGTAGTAGTAGTGGTAGTAGTAGTAGTAGTACTAGTAGTAGTAGTAGTAGTAGTAGAAATAGTAGTAGTAGAAATAGTAGTAGTAGTAGTAGTAGCCGCAGCAGCAGCAGGTTATCTAACTTCCACAGCTCATCTAACTTCTGAGTCACTGCCACCAGCTGTTCAGGAAGCAAATGAACATTCATACAAAAGTACATATTTAATCTTTCGCCAGATCTTTCGCCAAAAAAAAATACGTTCGCCAACTCGAGAAAAAACTTTTGCCAAATGAGATTTTGATATGTTCCGGGTCATCATCATACACAATGCTGTCTAGCACCTTTAGATCGACAACCAGATCTCAACCCTAAACAAACAATGATAGTTGCTCTCTCTCGTGCATGTGGAGTTTTCACCACCATATTCCGCCTACTGAAGTACCAAAAGGAAAACTCCAAAACAACTTGGGAGACTGCAGTCACCGTACCCTATCTATTCCTTTTTGGACCCACCCCCACTTCCACTTGCCTGGGTTCCGGCTCATCTTCCTGGTCCGAAAATGACGATCTGGGTAGGACGACATGTTGTAACCAGAGTGTTGTTTTATTGAATGTTTGTTTGGGCCTTCCCCTAGTCCTTTATGTTTGTTTAAAGGTGTTTGCGTTGTTTTCTTGGTTTGTGTGAAAGGCTCAGATTTACAAATCGTCCATGGATCCGTTGGACATGAAAGGAACAATCCGTTACACAGAGGTGGAGCCACCCTACCTCAAGCATCTTCAAACCATCATTTTGCGCAGGGTCATGTCACCCTGACCAACTCGCTCCCCGAACAGAAGCAACAGCAAATTCAGGATGCATGTTTTACTATATATCCATCGCTTTCCTTTGCATGTGGCCAGGTAACGGTATAAGATCAGGGTGTTCAGGTAACCCCCCTAGGTCGACAACCATCAACCTCCAATTTGGCCCCTGTCGCTGCTGTCGCTTGGTGGAGCCAAGTGTCTTCACATTCACGTGCAAGAACATGCACTTGTCATCGCCTTGGCGGGAGCGCTGAGCGTGGCGACTTTGGATGGTTTAGCACATGTCGCAAGAAATTGAATATATAAGTACAAGTACTTTCCGCACTCTGGGCCGTATGGCAAACAAAGGACAAGCTGAGCATCTTCTCTGCGCCAACAAAAAGCCTCATTTAATTGGCACAAATGGTCCACTTGCTTCATTTCCCCGTTGGATCCAGCAAACACCCAAAACCTCGCACAGAAAAAACAACAGTAAGGATGAATACAAATTAAATAAATCGATGAAAACCCCCACAAGATGTAGATTCTACACCATCTTCTGCTCTTCACAAGATTTCACTTATATGGGTGCGGCCAGAAACCCTGGTATGGATCGTTCCGCGCTGCAGCGAGAGTGATCCAAACCCTATGGATCAGAGCGCTGATCCAAGCCCTATGGATCAAACCGACAAGTCACTTGATCCAAGCCCCCGATATAGACACATCTGCATGGTGGCGCTCCACCCCACCACTTTCTCACCAGTTCGATCAAAGCCATCCTGTTTGTGGCAAGCCTGTTTTGAAGTACTGGCCGCCGCTAAATTCATATTGGGCCATGGTTGGGCAGAGTGGGTGGCTTTGGGCGCTGGTTCACTCCTCTTGGGCCAACAAGAGGCCTTGCGGATTAAAGTTTTCGGGCACTAACCTCATTTCTCCAGCCTTTGCTTTGGTCCAAGAAGACGATACAAGAAGCACAAAAAGGCTATTAGCTAGCCACGCAAATTGGTGATTCAGTGGGCTCTCAAGTCATTTAATAGGTGGTGGCTTAGCAGCTCTCTAGATTGGAGGCTCGCTCCAAACACTGGCTAGTGGCTTCCGGCTTCCGCTAATTCTGTTTGGCCTTCCACTATCTTGTCTTCTGGCGCCTTCTTTAATATCGTGTAGTTGGGTTGGATCCTCCACTCAGAGGCTTCCATAGCTTAATGATTGTTAGAGCATTGGTCTTCAATTCTCTACTTCCACGGTGTGTGGGTTCGAGTCCCGGCTGTGATCGCACTTAGCGGATTCCACTAAATCTATTTGCCAGAATGGGAAGTCAGCTGTGATCGCACTTAGCGGACTCCACTAAATCTATTTGCCAGAATGGGAAGTCAATTTGAAATTGAATCTAGTGGCTTCGGCTAAATCTGTGGTGGTGGTAATACTAGTGATAGTAGCGAGTAGCAGCAGTAGCAGCAGCAGCAGCAGGAGTAGGAGTTGTAGTAGTAGTAGTAGTAGTAGTGGTAGTAGTAGTAGTAATAGCAGTAGTGGTAGCAAGTGTAGTGGCAGTAGCTGTAGGAGTGGTGGCAGTAACAACACTAGTAGCAGCAAAGGTAGCAGTAGTAGTAGTTGTTGTGGCAGTGGTAGCACTAGTAGTTGTGTGATCCAAGGGCTTGGATCACACACCCACCTTTTGATCCATACCCTATCTATGGATCGAGGTATGGATCGTGTGTGGGTTTGGGTGTGTGATCCAAGCCTTATGTTTCTGGCCGTAGCCATATAGAGGGTTCTCTGAGGGGGAGCTGGATTGCGGCGACCCCGGAGCGGCCCCGATTAATGATGGAGGCGGCGCGTGGCAAGGGACGTCATTCCTTTCTGCAGCACCTACCGATCCAAACAGACTCCAAAAACGGACAAACAATAGCTTTATACCTAATGGCAATGGCCTCCAACCTAATAATAGCGCGCCTCCAACCTAACGTTTTCTCATACTTAGGACTTGGGGCATTAAAGTGAAGCGTCGCACAAAAGTTTGTGTGACCACCTTTGTGGGGGAATCGCCCTGACTGGCACATGGACTGGCAATGCGAGGTTGTTTAAAGGATCTCCCGGAATTCCCACTGCCTTCAGGACGACACTGAGAGGGTGACACCGAGATAATGTCTTTGGAAGAAAGACATCTCGGTCGTCGAATCGCATCGCCTTTTGGCCCAGTGGCTGTGGATGTTGACGCCGGCCTTGTCGTTGTGAATCGCATCCGACGGCTCCACCTTGAGTTATCTCTTAAGCTCGGCTGCGCCAGTCCACACAATGAGAAGGAGATCCAGAAAAATCATCCGTTTCCGAGTGATTCAGTTCAAGCTGAAATGATGATGGGCCATGTTACCCATATGACTGCACTTGACAACAAGGGATCACCATTTAGAGTTGTGCTCGGCCGCAGCTTTACACCAACATTGGAATTACTAAATCCTGTACATTATATACAGTAAAATGGTATGCATCAGGTCAGGCCTAGAAACCCTTTTGGGAGAACACTCAAATCTAGTGGATACACCATTGCGGTCTACTATTACCCCTAGAAGTCCAAAGACAAGATTGGCCCCACTGACGCAAAATTCTTTTTCGGATCACCGACAGACTATTAACAAAATATACCCTCGGTCACTATTGGTTTCTGGATGAATCATGAACCATGACGAACCCCTTCTTCCAAAGGTCCTTTTTCAGGGGAGAACCTTTCGAATCGGATGCTGCTGTCAGCAATTAATTGGATATCTGGTTCTCATCCTGTCCTCCCTCCAGTCGATGTTTAAAGGCACGGCTGGTGAGCCATCGAGGGAGATCGAGTTCTCCGTGATGAAGACCTTGTCAACCCAAAGCAGCGTGGCCGCGGGCGACTTGGCAAATTTCCGGGGTGAAATGGGATGAAATCCGAGCGAACAAAAAAATGGCAGACGATCCTTCAAAGAGCGCTTTGAGAGGTAATCTGAAGATGGGAAGAAAGGAGCGAGAGGAGACACTGGCTAAGGCAGGAATGAATCAGCATGCTGGTGAGCACCGGATGCTTGACGCAAACATACAGAAACCACTGTGGTAGGTGGAGCATTAGTGATCATCTCCTCCAACAACTTAAGCACTTCAAAAGGATGATCGTAGGTTCGATATTTCTCAAAAGTTCCTTCGGGCTCATGTTCGCAATCATATGCAATCATTCCTTGTTTCTGCTCCCAAATGAAAGTGCAGTCGGCAATCACCCTGAACCGAATTGCACCACCTTGTCGCCACCGTTGAACTGCACTTTCACACTGGTGATGACGGAGTTCCGCGTGCTCTTGTATTGGCCTCACAACACACACGTGCATCACCAAGCTTTAAATGGCGACCCCTTTTCCCTGCATCTCTACGATGACCTATTATAAAGGTGTATCAATGTCATGCCAACGCCATCCGATAGAAAGTCACCCATGGAGGATGGGAATACCAAGGATGGACCAAACAAATATGGAGAGGGGATTGCTTCATTAGATCATATTAGATCTTCAAAGCCCTCAGTTGCGACAAGGTCGAACTCCCACACCCTGAATGCCCTCAATGCCAATGCCAAGTCTCTTGGATGATTTTCCCCCAATTGCCCAGCATTCTGGGTCATCAACAGACTATTGATCACAGTGGGCACTCAAAATCCCATTGAAGTGCTGTGAGATGCTGTTGCTTGTCGGGTGTCCACGCGGTTCTTTCCGATTTGTGCTGTTGTGAAGAGGCGGGTGACGATTTGTGGTGATTTGGCATGTTGTGAAGTGTAATATGGGCAACGGTGACGTGGTGCTGTGCGCTGTGGTCAAGTCTAGTTTTCAGATGTTTTCAGTACTTATATTTCTTTGATCTTTTGTTTGAACATCTGAACCTCAAAATGACTTCGAAGTATTTTCTCTCGGCAAACCTCTGCCGCTACCTGTCTTTACATTTTCTGGAGAAATCTGTGATCGTCGATATGTTTTCTCGAAATAATGTTCTATAGGTCGTACTGTTGCATGTTTGAAATGCGTTTTGCAACCTTGAATCTTATATTGAAATCCAATTTCTCGTTTAGGCGAAGGCAACCCATGTGCAAGCCAAGACCGAGCCTGCGTTGTGCAACCCACCCTCACACTCTTGGGACTGCGATGCTCAGATTGGATTCCGCAATGCGTTTTGCGTTTTTTAAGAAAGTATGTTTCGCTAGTAAGTTGGAGGGCAGAGCGTGCTCTTCCGACTCAGCGGACCCTCAGGGGTTCCCTGCGTGAGACACGTTTTCCCCCGTCAACACACGGCACTTTTGCGTGTCCTTGGAGTTTTCACATCATATCGGATCGTTCTTTCGTTTCCAGGAATCTCCAGGGCGTCTTTTGTAACACGCATACGCGACATGACCTCTAGCGGTTCTACTTCCGCAACGGGGAAGTTTCTCAACTTACCCAACTTCCTTGTATATTAGACATGAATAGCGCTCCCTTGCAGGAAGCCCCTCACCCTCCGGCACATCACCATAGCTCAGGCACATTGGAAAGCTTGAAGTTCAAAGTCTCCCCCGGCACAAGCATTGCTGGTGGCATAGCGGAAGACTCCCGTGCCTCTGGCGGCAGTGCTGTTGGCATATCGCTCCATGCTGCTGGAGATGGGCATCGTCTGGTTGAGATCAAAGTCATCGGATTGATCAACAAACATGACACACTATGGACATCCAAAAAGAGCCTGTCAGGGCAGAACCCGCCTTGGTGATTAAACTTCTTCTTCTGTCTCCAGCTTTTTGAGATGTGCGGATCTCCTGTGGAAGTGAGGCTTTTTGCGGGTGGCACGCCGAAGCAGGCAGAAATTCCAACCCCTTTTGCCTTCTGAGAACTTCAATCAAAGAGTCTGCTCATTGACTCGTGCAACAAGAGAGTTTGAGTTCAATTGAGCGCAGCGTGAGTGTTGAGAGATACAAACCATGAGGATTTGGATGGACCGTCGGACCGTCGCACAGGGTGTTCCCAGTTCTCGAAGCCAAATTAACACCTTGGCAAGAAGCTACTAGGGGCTCCTGGCCATACTACTAGGAGCAAGAAGCTACTAGGAGCAAGGGCATCGCTACTAGGAACAAGAAGCTACTAGTGGGGCCATACTACTAGGAGCAAATAGCTACTAGTACGGTCTTAGATGGGTCTTGGACATCACCCAACACAACTAAAGGCTTCAGGGTTCCGTAACGCCGTAAGGGTCCCTTCAATGGTTCCTTTATGTTCCTTAAACAGTTCCTTCAAGGGTTCTTTCGGGAATCCCTTCACGAGTTCCTTTTCTTGGATGCCCGTTGTTTCTTTCTCTTTTTGAAAGACCCTTCCCATCGGTGAAAGGAAGGACACCGAAGAAACTCTGGCGACCGAATTCAGGCTCCCCAAGCTCGGCATTGGGTGTAAGCGGAATTCTTCCATCCTTTACCTCATATTTGCCGTGCGCTCCAGGGGCCAAAATCCGTGTGGAAGCGATAGAAAGCGAATAGACATCGCACGGTTTTGTTGGTTTGTACATGCAGCTTAAAAGCACAAAGAACAAGGACGCAAATATGGACACAAGCGCAAAAGGCTAGCAAACCTCGCCAGGGCACGGAAGGCTGCACACTGGGCACATTGCGCCGCAGTGGTCGTTGTGGTGGTGCTGACCGGGTTTGAAGGACCACAAATGATCTTGCCACCGCCGCCCCTGTGATCGTCATTGGTCATTGGTGATGAAAACCACAAAAAGGGAGAACCTTTTGGTTGCCACTGCTCGTGTGCTTCTTTGATTGCCACTTGCAAATGCAAGTGGGTTGTGCAAAACTGCTGTCAAATTCACCTGCAATCCACTTAAAACGGGATCAACAACAAACTTTCTTTGCTCCCTAAAGTTGTGCAGCTGCGTGGGGAACACCTGCATGTCGGCCAATGGCAATCTGGGAATTCCGAAAGGTCCTACTGCCGAGCGTCGGCTTCAGTCGACAAACAGGAAGCTCTCCAAAGGGCTGCCTGGGCGGTGCAAGACTTGGCGCCTGCCTCGTGAGTTGTACATCGCTTTTTGATATGCTTTTCCAATCTTTTCCAAGTCAAGCTTTTCGACATGGTTGTACATCACTAGAACAGCCTTCACTTCAATGGGAGTCATCGAGACAAATTCAACACCACTTCATGAGATTCATTACTGGCCCTTGAAGGTGACTCAGTTGCAGCATCAATATGATGGCAAGGATCCAACATGATCCAGCGGCGTTTAAATCATCTCAGTCTTGGTATCTGCATATTCAGCTCACTTTCCCAAGAATGTGTTAGCCTACACGAGGGTTCAGTCAACATCACAAGCTATATATATATATATGTATATAATATATATATATATATATTTATGACCAGGTTTGAGACTTGACGAGAACATAAAAGAACATGAGAAAAACACAAGTTACACATCAACACCAGGATGGCCTGATCGAAGTCAGTTGGCTTCCTGCCAACACCACAAATGAATGTGGACAAGTGGCTCATTCTTACCGTTCTGGCAAGTGAAAATGCCTTTGGGTTCCGTCCTCAGGTCGGAACGGCGCAGACTTGCCGATTGTTCCAAAAACTGTGCATTGTCCCTCAAGTGTCCATTAAACAACGATGTTGTTTTCGCATTTTCTTGCTTAGATCAACTTACGGTTGAACCATGTTTGTTCACACAATGGACATCATACTGCCGCTTAAATTTTATTACCCCAATCTCTAAATCGATGTTGCAAGACGGAAATACCCAAACTCCGTGGAATCTGTTTATGACGTGACTGGATCTATTTCGCTTTTGTTGCATGGCTATGGGTTATTTATGAGTCAAAAACATGTCAAAATAGGACGCCGGTTGGGCAAATCACAAAAAAGATTAAACCTACCAGGCACGTGAACTTACCACCGCTTTGGGAATATGTTTTTCAGCGCACTGCAGGGAACCATTGGACACCCACCCGCCCCCAAAGTTACGTCCAAGCACGACTGGGTGATGTAGGCTTCACCGCAGGTGACTTTGCAAGTGGCCCCAGGCAACAAACCGGAGCAACTCTGTGGGATGACCTGGGCGCAATGTGGAGCACATTGGGTGCCCTGATCGATCGAAAGTCCACACATCTTCGCAAGTCCAATGAAAACTGGCACAAACAAAAGAAAAAACCCTTGTGGTCGTGCTTTCACTTCAGGTGCTGGAGGCCACTTTGCACATTTGTAGGCACCCAGGATGTTCTACGTCCCACAGGTGCACTGGGAGATCCGCCAAAGCAAAATATGAGCTAGGAAACGTTCACACACTTTGGAATTTGCACTTGCATTGCACCTGTTGAAGAATCAGCCGGATTTTTGTGGGACAGCAGAACAAGCAAGGTGCCTTGTTGCCAGTAACAAGCCGTCCTCAGGATGAGCCATCCAACAAATGTCTTGAGTCCAATTTAGCACATAGTGCATCGTGGTCTGCAGGAATGCAGCTCCGAGATTGTCTTCTGACTGTAGGTTGATGATGTCTGTTTGCTGACGACGACGTTTTTTTGTCTGCGATCAACACCTGTGATGCAGGGTATGATTATTGCAGAGAGCAGAATATTCTGTGGGCAAATGTTGATGCCCTCCTCCAAGCACTGCACATGCTTCAAATGTTTCTGGCTGCAACCCACCGGCCCAAGTCTGCAAACTCAAGTGTTTCAACTTTGACTATACATAAATCGAAGTTTCCGGCAGTAAACCAATGGCTGTATAGACAGCATCGACTTTTTGCCCCACTGGGCAGACTCCTGGTCTTCCGTTGCGTTGAGCCATCCATCAAAACTCTGCACCAAAATCTCTGCATTCTATTATCACGGACCCACTCGACCGGACTTATTGCCAACCTGTGTTTCCCATGCGATAAACCTGTCTTCTTTTGGAACCACTTTCATTTCTGAGGTTCCCTGCCTAGTGTGCTGTCTGCTCTATGAATTCTATGATCATGCCATTCATCCTTAAAGTTGTTCCCTATTTGTTCGGTTCTCTCTGGATGGCAAGATCTGTGTTACGATGCGATCACATCATCTGTGTGGCTCGCCTTCTCCTCTCCAGAAGGCTCGGACTCCACCTCCTTTGCGACGGGTGTTTCTGGTGTTCCGCACCAGCTCGCTCATGGCCTTCAGGTGTGACATGTTACGTTGCCACCTACCCATGCCACGCGTTAGGTGATCATCGATCCTGAGGCGTGGCCACAAGGCCAGCGCTGTCTGTGAGAAACCAGGTAGTGACATCGTTGCAGGTTGCGCTCCCCAAACCAAATTATCTTGTTATCGACGATTCTTTTGCGTGTGCGCCCTGTCCTCACTCTGCATCACCAGACATGCTTCGGATGCCGAAACGTTCCCTGAGCGTCGATAGCGTAAATGGCCGGTTGGCCCATCTGCCTGAACCGCCTCTCTGCGCTTGTCCGTCATGCTGAGCCTCCCTGATCGGCTCTTGTTGTTGCCGGCAAGCAAGCCCTGGAAGGGCAGCATGGCCGCCTCGCCCTTTTCTCCTGGGTCTGAGGCTTTTGGCTTTTCTATCGGTCAGCCTAGCGTCCATGGTGGCCAAGACAGTCCACTGCGTCGGTTGGGACTAACTACCACTGCTGGAACCAGACACGGAACTGGCATGCACAACAGCATCACGTCTGGGGCTGCGAAATGCGAGACTACAGAAGAAGGCGAGTTCCAGCAGCGGGTCGGCCAACCTCAGATTCGGAAGACGCTGGAGAAGACGCATTGCTAGATTTGGATTTGTCTCCAGCCTCATGCAACTTCCCGCACACAGTCTCAACTGATGCACCTGGGTGTCCACCAAATGAGGTTGACGACAACCCGCTTCGAGCGTCCTTGGAGCATCTCACCAGAGCTTAAACCCACTCGTCCTGCCGCCAATCACTACGGCCTCACGCGACCGTAGTGCCTGGACATCTGTGCTAAACTATATGTACCCCAGGTGACCTAACTTCACCGACATTGAGCTGTGACCAGCCAAACGCCCGATCACTCAGATCAAATGCTAGCCCCAACGAAATTGGTGGCTGATTTCTGTCTTGTATGCAATGATTGAATCAGCTGACTCTCTGAGGCACCCCAGGTTGCAACTGCTTTCAAGCTCACAAAAGTTAATTGCCCTTAGCCGTTAGCCGTTAGCCTAACTAACACCCCGTGTTGGCATACTTATGAGATCTTATAAGTTTTTGTTAAGTGCAAGTGCAGCTACAACTTAGTGGATCTCCTCAAGTTCGCTCGTTCTTGGCATGCGCCAGCTTTCATCGTAAAAACTGATCCGGCCACTGGGGTGGGGGGAGGAACCTTACTGACTACATGTGGAACAAGAGGAACAAGAGCGTTCACATCCAAAAGTCTCTCTGTGCTTTGGGCGATCAGCGTTGTCCTGCACATAATGGTCAGTTCTTCGGGCAATGTGTAAGCTGCGCGAACTGCTAGTTGACTTGGCTCCAGAACTGCATTCCCAAAGAACGTTGAAATGAAGACATAAAGACGGCAACATCAAGTTGAATATTTAGCAATGTAGCACCTTCACTGATCGCTTATATAACTGTTTTCTAGCCAAAAACATTTGAAGAGGATGTCGGCTGTCGGGTGGCTAACAGGCTTGACTTGTTCGCAGTCGAGTGGCATATCTGACGGCATCTGGCCTTGGGGCACAAAGATGTAGTGAGCATTCGTACATCGTCACTTGACTAACAACTTGTGCCAAAGTGTCAAGGCAGATTTGTCAAACAGTCCCATTTCCGCACTCACACGCATGAACTCTTTTTGACCACATGAGTTTATTGGGAACACGGATGCAAAGGCATTTGCTATCAAGCTTGTCACCTTCGGACGAGAACATCCAAATGTCCTTTATACCACTGGGCGTTCTTCTTTGTAGAAAACCGACTTTCACAACTCGTTCTTCGGTTCAAGTAGGTGACCACAAGGAACAGTCAGCCAAGCCGTGGCAAAGAATCGACGACACACTCCTTTTGAAGCTCCGAGAAAGGGACAACATGCTTGAGAAGCAGTGTGTCGAAGTTTTCTTACGCAAGATAACTGGGAAGACACTCTTCTGGATTCAACGTTGAAGCATGTTCTTTATGGACTTCCCCGGGTCCCCCTTTCTAGCGTCACACCGGTTTACAAATCGGGTCTCCCCATGTCTCCCCAAAACGCTGCCGCGGTGCCCGGAAATATGCAAATCTGCGCAGGTGATGCTCACGGGCAAACTCCAAGATGTGCCGGCATCGTTCCTGGTAGACGTGAGGTGAAGCTACTAGGGGCTGGCATCGCTACTAGGAGCAAGGACGCTACTAGGGGCTCCTGGTACTGCTAGGAGCAAGTAGCTACTAGTAAACAAGAAGCTACGTGAGGTGAGGTCGCGAGGGTACGGAGATGGTTTGGAGACGGATGCGGAGGTAGGGGTGATTCGTGAGATGGAGAGTTGCGAGTCTTTCTGAGTCACTGCGGAGAGTTCGGAGGCCCCACTGGGGGCTGGCATCGCTACCAGGAGCGACGCTAAACGATGCTTGGCCAAAACGACGCTCCCCCCAAAGGTCGGAACCGAACGACTCTTCGGCTCAGCGGCTTGGCGCCCACCATGATCTCATATTTGGCAATAGCCTCTGGCACCCCACCGCTGCAGTATCCAGTATAGGTGATGACCTGAGTTTTCTTGGCAATGAATGAATGCGTTTCTTTGAGCTCATTTCAAAAAAACTAATTGCTGCTTCCCCGTCCACAAGGCAACAAGGGCACATCAAAGAAGTCTTGGACAGAACAGTAAGAGATGACCACGACACAAAAACTACTGCGAGTATCTGTGAGTAGCAAGAAAGTCATGATGTCTGTGATCCTGCTCTAATGGTTCAGAATAGCAGGATCATCTTGCGATGCACATCCAGGTTGTCTTCGAACGTTTCCAACACTTGATCCTGTGCTCAACCACGCACATGATGATCACCCATACACTCTCATGGGCCACTCTTAGATAGGAACCAAATCCACCAGGCAAGGTTTGTTCCGTCATTTTGAAGGGTTTTGAGCCGGTGTTATAGATGCCGATCTGTCGATCATGCAAAGCTCCCCAAAGTCTACCGGTCCACTATGGTCCACTGGTCTCTTCTTCTCAGCGGCGTTGTGATCACAGCAGGTGTACTTGATGACTGCGTGATCAATGTTGGCACCAGTTTCATCGCCAACGCAGAATGGTCCAAAGGTGGGTGGATCGAACTCGGTACAGTACTTGGTGGTACCTGGCTCGGTGACACGAGAATAGAAGACAAAACGTTGAGACCAGGGATGCTTTATGGATGCCTTTAGATTCTAGCTTTTTGGTCCTTCATAACTTTGGGCTGGGATTCCGGGCCTTCCTCTACATATCTTACACTGAAGTGTAGAACAACTTATATGCTTTGCATAGTTAGGGTCTTCTTGACGAAAGGCTTGAGGCACAACTCAAGCAAATGCAGCGGATGACATCATGATTACAAGCAAAGTTCAGTTGTGTCTGAAGTTTTGCTAGTCACAATGAAAAGGGCAAGTTGAGACACACACTCTCATGGAACAAGGACTCTAAACTGGTTTCAACATGTTTCAACTGGTGCTCTGCCATGCGCTCTGCCATGCGCTGCCTTGATAAGCACAGATCTTCTTCACGCAGTATCCTGAGGCAATCGTGGTAAATCCGATTAAATAGTGGCACGGTGGCACGTAAAGCGTAAACCGACGTTTGCCAAGTGTCCCAAAGGTGGAGCTGTAAAGCACTGTTGCGGTTGGGTAAATCCACCAAAGCGGCACGTGTAGAAATCGCCTCGCGAACTGTGGGTTACAAAGTGAACATGCCAAACAGGAGATGGCGATGTTGAACCTTTCTTCACACGGCACCCTGTGTCCGCCATGCTCCAAGCTGGTACTTTGAAAAATACACGTAAGCTTTACTGTGTGACAACTTCCCAACTCCCCCAAATCCAATTTTTTTCGTTTCCGGGTTCTCACCAGAAACGCATGAAGAAGGGAGCCGGTTCGGCGACGTGCGCGCGAACCCGGAAACACAAAGAATACGAGTGACCTTCAAAAGGTGTGAGGTCGTCAAAACTGCATCTTAAATGATGTCCAACCGATCACCAAACTTGCAGGAATAACTTAGCCCCATTTGGAGCTAAAAAACTTTGCCAACTACAGCCGACAAATGGAACACATGGGAAGTGCTCTTGCCCTGTTCCTGTAAGTTCTAGGAAACACAGCACCACTTCTCCACCACTTTCTCCACCTTCGCTACCTCTTTTCCAGCTTAGTGATGGCAGAACAAACTAGCTTACGAGTACCATGTCCAATGAGGCTTGCCTCACGATGTGCATCTGACCACGTTATGCAAAAATGTGGTCCGACACCTAAGAGTCTGTGAGAGTTGCCGCCTTAAGCCGTTCCGGCACTAAGCCGTTCCCAGAGACACTGAGCTGTACACAAAATCAACCGGAGTTGAACCGAACGGGCCCAGATCTGTCTGGCCAAGCCTATAGCGAACGCAAAGAGAACTGAGGTAGGCTACCTTTCGTGATCACCCAGAAACAATAAGAAACACAAGTCTTAACATGGGCAAACTCCAAAAAAACTGGACATGCTTTCTGGTTCTCCCCCGGCTCCTGCAGCATGACTCCTTGGGGCTATACGCGGCCCGCTTTAGTTTTCAGCAACAAGCGCACAGCTTCTAAGCGGCCCTCAACAGCGACATGAATTGGTGCAAAGATTGAATCATTCCCACCCTCTTCGATTTGGATCCTTTGCTGTTTGAAGGAGGTGCTCAATTTCGTTCACACTATTCTCCTCACATTGTATGAAGGAGCTCCTCCTATTCCTGTCTGGTCCAGCACACTAGTCTCCGATTATCATGCACTTGGCAGTGGCCTTAGCACCTGTCATCCACTTGGCCGATTCCTTCGAAGAGCGGCTTGCTCAAAGCGTTCTCGGCACCAGGCATGGAAGAGGTTTCTTCTGTGAAGCAATAAGCGTAAAGTGTATTTGTTATTCCCTCCACTTCTTTTCTTGATCGCATTCACCGATGTGATTCTTTGTGAGGGAATAAACACCCAGAAGGTCAACATCAAGCCTTGAGATGCGGCACGTGCATCACACAGGAGATTGGAGACCTATAATTAGATCTGTGCAGAATGGCCATGCACGTAACAACTAGACTCTAGACCCCCACGATGGAAGAAGAACTGAGCTGAACAGCAAATCTCCCTGCGTGTTTCGTGGGCTGGGGTTGCTATTCATTGCAAGAGTATGCCGATACGAGCTGCTTTGGACTCCAATTCAAGTTGATGATGCGTCTTTGAGGTGCCTTTATTGCGTTTCTTTTTCTTTTTACGCGATAGACGCTGTCGTGAGGTCACCATCATCAAACGTCTACAATACGGCAGCTGCCAGTGGATTCAACGAATGACAGCACATGGCGCCCCGGGGAGTGAGCACATCCCGCCAGAAGGAAAGCACTCGGATGACCGACGTGCTGTGCTTGTTTTCAAGGGACATTTCTGAATACTGTACCCAAAAAAGCTTGCCGTTGGAATCCTTCCAAAAAAACAAATCTATCGTCGATGTGTCGGTGCGGACTTTTCTGGTCTCCGCGCCTGCCACGGCCAAGACTCCGCAACTTTGTCCAGACTGGACACCTCCGAAGCACGGTCGTCTCCGTCAGATTGTGTACTTCAAGACACCGCGTGAGTCGAACCGAAGGCCGAGGCCGGATTCTGCAAGGAACGCCGTCGGCTTGTTCACGTTGGTGTGCACTGATTCGCCCGCCCCAAATCAGGTCACCAGGTGTTCAAGTGAAAACATGCTAAAGAAACATATTGCTTTATTGTGTGTGACATAGGTGCTACATGGTGCACCCTCCGATGAAGTCAGCCGAACAAATTTCTGGTTCATGAGCTGGTGCACAGTTTTGATTTCTACTACAGCCCTGCAGGATAAACTTTAAGAAGACTTCCCTGCCAACCAACACTCAACACCCGAGTCACAACAAAATCCATGCAATTCGCCTGTCCGCCCGCGCCAGCACTGGTCCCGGGTGGTGAGCTCTGAAGCCAGGCATCGCCAGCAAAGGCCATCGTAGCCACCGTTCAAACAAAAGTCCTGGCGAGAGAGCGAGAGAGGTCGGTTCGCCTGCGGCCTCCACTTCTTCTTTCATTTGCTTCGGACACTTCTTTTCATATACAAAACTTTATCAACATGATCAGCATTGCATATTATTGGACACCATCGGTGGGTCTTGGGTTTTGAGTCAGCGATGTGAACATGTCAGTAGTGGAGTAGGACAGTAAGATTGACTGTTCCAATGTGAACAATCAGTGCGTATTCTGCTTGGGAGATGTTTCACTTTGCTTCGAGCTCTTCGAGCTCTTCCAGCTCGGCTGGGTGCCAGTTTTGATTGGGACATCATCCGGACCATCTGAGCAGAGGGAGCAAGGGAAAGGAAGCGAGAAATCCGGGCAAGTAGCTACACCACCCCGGTCAAACGACTGCCGCTCAAGGAGGTCTCAACAAACTCTAGAATATCAAATCTAGAAGCCAGTGACTTCGAAAGCAGTTGTCAAGTTAAATACGTTCGTAGGACCAGGATCAAGAGAAACTCATCAAAGTCCAGAGATAGATTTCTAGTGCCTTCTATCAATTCTCATCAAGCTCCCTTGAAATCTGCAAGGTTTTCATGCATGAATGGCGGCAGGGCCGCTCACGAGCGAGTGTCCTGCTGGGTAAACTCATCGTTCGCGCAAACTTCCTTGGTTGTTAGCGCTGGTCGGCACCAGTACAGTTCACAGTCACTTCATAGAAAGTTCTAATCCTTACTAAATTTGTTTACGATGTAAAGGTGTGTTGTCTATCTTTAAAATGCGAGCTCAAGCGATGAGAGTGAGCTGATTCCCTTGTTCCTTTGGACCATGCCCTCCTTGGTCCCCCTTTGAGGCTTTGTTGATCTTGCCCCAGCAGTTTGACAAAAGCGTTGCCATTCATATATTGGCCCACACCAAATTGCAAGCACTTCGTGGTCCCAAGTCCGACCCAAAACGTACTTGTCGACATGCTAAATGACTGAATCATAATGGGGTCCCTTTATTTCTCTCCCCCTGTGTGGAGAAAAAACCACTTCAAAAAGAGTCAAAAAGATAAAAATGATGGATGCACCGTCGCAGAATCCCGTTCACTAATGAAACCGCTGGAGGCGAAACATTTTTTACATTGCTGAAAGACTGAGGAAATGCACATAGTAACAAGAAGCTATTAGAAACAAGTGCATCGCTTCTAGTAACAAGTGCCTTACTAGTAGTAACAAGAAGCTATTAGAAACAAGTGCATCGCTTCTAGTAACAAGTGCCTTACTAGTAGTAACGAGAAGCTATTAGAAACAAGTGCATCGCTTCTAGTAACAAGTGCCTTACTAGTAGTAACAAGAAGCTACTAGGAACAGGTGCCTTACTAGTAGTAACAAATGCTTCATAATTTTCTCTCTCGTTTGCGGCACCGCGAGGCGGGGAACACCCTGTGATTGGCCGGGTCTCCGGGTCGGTGAGGTCCTCATCGTTGTTCTCAGGATCATCCGCTTCGAAGTCTGACGTGGACCTGGGTGCTAGTGGTGCTACACACACACAATGGTGGCGAGCGGTTGCGTGGAAAAAGCGGCTCAAAATTGATCCAAGAAGAGTCCAAGTCTAAAACCAAAAACTAAACTAGGAAGTGCCTTGGTGAATTTACAAGTAGGTGGAAACAGGATTTTCTTGTGGTCTATACTATACCTACTAAACTACTTCTTCCACCCAACAATAAGTCTGCACATTATTATCCTCTTGCAACCTCCACTATCCATTCTAAGTCTTACTGCTTTCACAATTCAAAAAGGCCATTGCAGCTTCCACAAAATCTACAACCTTCTCAACCCACTGCGACTGTTGCAATACTTGCAATGCTGGAAACTCTACAATTGTGACTTTCTATTGAACCCTAACAAGTGCTTTCTGGACACCACAGAAAGTACCAATCTGGGAGGCTTCAGGAAAAGCTCTTGAATGCTTACTTCCCGACTTACTCCCAAAGCTTCAGCTGCAGCTCAGCTACTGGGAGACACTGGTCGGTGACCGCTCAGTTGTGCATGTCATCCGTCCAGTCACCTCTCTGAAGTAGAACCTCAGTCCGCCTCCGCTCCGTCCCACCGTGTCCCGTTGCAAAAAGCGGTTCGGTTCAAGGGCAAAACGAAACCCAGTAGCGATGCCAGGAGCCCCGTTCGTAGCTTCTTGCTCCTAGTAGTAAGGCCAGGAGCCCCTAGTAGCGTCCTTGGTCCTACATCTCCTACTAAAGAAAGGTGGAGTTGTACAACAAAAATCCTATTTGGGCAGCAACCCCACTGGAGACCATGGCACAATTGGCCTTCCACCTGGCGTTGCTTCTGTAGTCATGTGAGATGTGTACCGACTGCAGTTCACAGCTCTCCCGAAGCAATGTCAGAAACAGGAACGCACAAATGATCGAATGTTGAAAGGAACTTCCGTGTTTCGCACGTTGTTCGGTTTTGCAAAAACATTGCCATAGCTGTCTCTTTCCTCTCAGATCCCGTGGCGCCACCCGGACCAAAAGCGGGCTGCTTTCTGTCCGTTTCCCTGCTTCTCCAGGTCAGTCCCCGCCCTTAAACCGCTTCGGCACGTGGTGATGCAGGAACGCACGATGTCAGGTTCGCGAGGAACCACTGCAGTGATCTTGATGGTGGTCTCCTCGGCAGCCTGTGTCTCCAATGTGCTGATCCTGGGCAAAGATCGCTATGTCTGGCCTCCGGATGTCGCTTCAGTCAAAACCTGTCAAGAAATCAAAAACAAGTACTGCACTCTTCAATTCTCTACATCCTCTCTCTCTCTCTCTGTGTGTGTGTCATCCTTGCATGTACATGGGTTTGCTAAGTTCTGTCATACTTCATGAAGCTTGCCGCTTTCAGCATTGAGGTGCTCCAAGCTGAGATTGCCCCACAAACTCCGCTACAGTGTCAAGAACACATATTAGTATCGCGCTCCCTGATTTCAATCCACTGCTGCAGTTGTGGCATTCTGGATTGCATCCAGTGTGTGTCATCCTTGCCTGAATCAAGGAGAATGCTAAGTTCTACCGCTGAGAGGAGACCTAAAAGCTCTTCAGAATTTGCGGCCAAGGGCATTAGGATGCATTAGGTGTTTACTGGCATGAAGAACATTGTGGCACCTTCTATTGGAACATGTGAAACCTTGACCCAGTAACTCCCGCCATCCAACCCCACGGCCAAGTCTCAAGGGGCGGGGAAAGAGCGTGTCCAGACTGGGCGAATTGCATTTAAACTTGTTCCGAGCCTGGCGATGGAAAAATCGTCACAGGCGCTGGAGGCACAAACACCTGGTACCTGCTAAGCAAACATCCTGAACATCAGTTTTTCACTGTTCGTGGACTCCAGAGTTGTCCACTCAAGTGTACGCGTCGATCGAATTGTTCCGTTGCATGTGTTTTCCCAGGTTCCAAGCATCGTTCTGAGAAAAAAGAACTAGGACACCGTACGAAACACATGTTTTATTAGCGTCACACGCTGAGGTGTGTATGTGTGTGTGAGAACGCAAGAACTACCCACAAATCACCTGCCGCAAACCACTTCCGAAATCGCACCACAGCCACTTGGCGGGTTGTGCCGGCACACACAAACACGCAGGCACATGCCCTGCCAAGGTGTTTCAACTCCGGACCTCCAAAGACATCCCCTCAAACAAATCCCTATGGCCCATGGCACAAACATGCACACTGAAAATGTTGCAACTGCGTGGCTCCACACACCTGCTGTGTATTTCCCAATATGCGAAAAGCGAACCCTCACCTTCGTACATAATCACAATTTTGCCTGAAAACGTGAGACTTGTCACGAACACACGGTCCAAACAACCCCCCAAACTGCAAACCCCCATGGCACAGCGACGTTCAACCCTCCAAATCACCATCCAAAAACCTTTCATGCAACCCCCCCCACACCTATCACCTCACAAAACACTGCTCCGGCCCACTTGTACCGATATCATATAGTACATGAATCGCAAACGTGCACATGCATCGACGCGACCTCTCAAGAGCTTATCCCAGAGAAAAAACTTTGCCACAGCAACGTGAACAAAAATGAACAACGCTTGCGCATGGTTGAAAGCACACACAAGAAACAACGCGGGCGAACGCACTTCTACCCTCATGCAAACCCTCAATGTTACCGGCAACCTTTCACTACGCATTCGGGAGACGCTGCAGTGATCCACGCCGGTTTTTACCTATCAAAACAGGTGCAGGGAGGTCGAAAGAATGAAGCGAGAGACGATAAAGCGGATAGAAAAGGCACCTTTCATAATGATTGAAATGTTCTCTGGGCAAGACCCCCCAAACAGTGTTACATCAAACAAAGCACCGGCGAATCACACACGAAAAACACACACTCACTTTGATATTGGGTTTGCAGTTAACTCAGTTCCCAAGTCAAAAGGAGTGAGGGAAACGCAAGGTGAAAGAGTCGGCGAAGCCAGTATGGTTGAACATGGTTTTCCAAAAACCATACAAGCTCGATCAATTCTCAGCGGAAATGAATGAGGGAACGGCAAGGTGAAGCGTCCGATCACTTGAAAGTGTTTGAAAAGATGTTTCTCTCTCATCTGCGGAAGGCTGCGGTGGCAGGCGTCAGAAACGCGGCAAGAAAAGGGCTTAGGGGTCTATCATGCAAGGACCATGGCATCAAAACGTGGGAAAGTGGAGTCAGAGCTTGTAACAAGTTCAGCAGGTATGTGGATTCTGCGTCCAGAGTCCATATCAGTGACTCAAAACAGCCTCTTCGTTGGACTGCCGCTGTTGAGAGTCAGGCAGTCCCCCTGCTTGCAAGGTGCAAGAAGCAAACTCTTAGGGACAGAGTGTGACACACACAGAGCGCCGATATCGACGCTCCGGGGGAAATTACTAACCACCTAAAAAGCCTTAGAAAGAAAAGACAAAAAGGGAAACGCAAGGGCAAGAGAGAAAAATAGGTGTAGTTACGAGGCCCACCAGTTACGAAACCTGCTAGTCACTGAATACTTCGCCGCATGAATTAAATTCACTAGTTAGCGAGCGGGACATTAGTCTTAAACCGCTCGGGTAGCTAGAGCTAGGACAGGAGAAACAGAAGGAAAGGCACCGGCACACAAGTGTGTCGAGTACCATTTCCTTCTGTTACCTAGATAGCGGGTGGGATAAAAGTGCGAATTCGGGTGCAAGGTGGGGGGGTGCATGGATGTGTGTGTGTGACACATATATATGACCGTAAGCCCGGCGGCGTGGAAGTTCCGTGGAGCCCGGCGGCTTGGATTTTGGGAATACTGTGGTGAAACGAAAGTCCGTTAAGATAATCCAACGAGTGCAGGATGCGGAAAAATCAGTTAGTGGTAATCCAGCATGAAACGGCGCCCTAGTGACGGGGATCACACTGTGCACCCACGTGGGACGGCACAGCGGCACACACTTTGATATTGGGTTTGCAGTTAACTCAGTTCCCAGGTCAAAAGGAGTGAGGGAAACGCAAGGTGAAAGAGTCGGCGAAGCCAGTATGGTTGAACATGGTTTTCCAAAAACCATACAAGCTCGATCAATTCTCAGCGGAAATGAATGAGGGAACGGCAAGGTGAAGCGTCCGATCACTTGAAAGTGTTTGAAAAGATGTTTCTCTCTCATCTGCGGAAGGCTGCGGTGGCAGGCGTCAGAAACGCGGCAAGAAAAGGGTTTAGGGGTCTATCATGCAAGGACCATGGCATCAAAACGTGGGAAAGTGGAGTCAGAGCTTGTAACAAGTTCAGCAGGTATGTGGATTCTGCGTCCAGAGTCCATATCAGTGACTCAAAACAGCCTCTTCGTTGGACTGCCGCTGTTGAGAGTCAGGCAGTCCCCCTGCTTGCAAGGTGCAAGAAGCAAACTCTTAGGGACAGCGCCAAATTGGAGCACACACATATATATTGTGCGCACACGCAGGAGAGCACGCAAAAATGAACGCACATATGAGTGCACATATGGGCACACATCTCGGAGCACACAGGCCAGAGCAGGCCAGAGAGCACATTCTGAAAGCGCGGTTCGAAGTTCAAGCGCCGCATCTGCCACGAAATCTGCACTTCCAGGTTCACAGGTTGCTGCGTCGAGGTTCACGAAGTGCTCCGCTGAAATCTGCACTTGCTACGACAGCTGCACATCAAGAGTCACATTGTGCAGCCCGGCCAGTGCCTTTCGCAACAAAAGCCTTTCCAACGACAAGTTATAGCAGTTCTAGACATGTCAAAACGAAGCTCTCACGGGATACTTCCCGAACTATATAGCCACATGTCCAAAGTCAATGATTCACGCTACTTCAAAACCACCAAAACACGCCAAGAATGTGCACGGCACCACAAGGAGAGCGCAGTCGGGGAAAGCACCGCTCCAGCCCACCAGTTTGTGCGAGGCTGTGCAGTCAACATGCACTTCGAAGATCTCGGGAGGCAGCGAATTAGCTGGACACGCCGATGAGCACCTCGCTGAAAACCCTGCCTCAACCATTACCACAAGAACCCACAGTGTGTGACCACGTTGTTTGGGGGACTTTTGAAGCCATTTCTATCTGTTTGAGGTCATACAGAACCACTTGTGTCGCACGTCTTCTTTGGCGCCTCGAAGATTCCATTGGCAAGTGGCCCTTCATAAGTGGCCAAGTCGTTATAGCTCCATTCTGCGGCCAGAAGTGCACAACATCAAGTCGCACATTGACACTGCATGAAGTAGCTTTGGGGTAGTTTTGACATATTGATATGTTTATTTTATTCTAGTGTATCGAAAAGATCCGAACCCTCTCTGTGGTTATAAAATGTTATAAACCCCATTTGCCTCCGTGTACATCGCAGTTTTGAACCCAATTTTCAGCTTTGGAATGTTCACTCTCAGCTTTGTGGGTTGAGAGCAAGTAGAGCAAAGACATTTCCACAAACAGCCCTATACTATTAACCCTATGGTCTTCACTGGCATTGTCACCTTATCACCTCAATAACTTTAGGTGAAGAACACGCATGATTTCCTATCTTCTTTGTCTTCTTTTGCGCCTTCCTTTCGCACAGTTTCACGGCAAAGCTGATCAAGCTCACCACATTTTCGACACCAGATCAATAGTTGGTTCACGGACATGGAGCAATCTAAGGGGTGGCCACCCTACAGTAACCTTCACCCAGTTTATCACCATGTTCAACCGCCCACGACAGCGACAGGCCAGAGGTCAGTGCCATTTAGGTCTGGAGAGCAGCATGTCTCCCGGCCGAATCTAGTTATTACTGAATATCAATAAAACTTCCCAACATCTGCGTACCAACTTTACCAATCATGCCAGCAACCTACGCGCATGCTCAAAACAAATTGTTTTATCGATTCATTCGGCACACCCACCTGCACCAAACAGCTAGCTAACCACTTACATGGCTAGGGCGCATTCAACAACGTGGAAACATCCCAACCCATCTAGACCAACATCTCGGGGTCCCGACGAAATTTTCCCCAGCGTCCATGGCACTTGACCTGTCCACTGCCAAAGTTACCTGCGCACGTTCGACCAGAAACCCTCGACCGAGATGGGGATCCGTCACCTCGCTGACTTGAAAAAGCAAACAAGGAAGAAAGGTTTAAAAACATTGAAACGAGTCTAAAGGTCACAAACCCTCCGTGAGGAAACCTTTTCAAATTCAAAAGAAGAAAAGGAAGAAAGAACAAGAGTACATGTCTCATTATATACACAACAGGTTTTCCCACACCACCTTCCAGGCTACACCAGCAAACACTTACTCGCACTCAAAGAGTTCGATTCCGAGCGTAAATTGGACACCCAGCGGAAATTGACTTTATCGGGACAACTGAGCGGGCATGAAATAGCAAAAGTGAGTCTAGAGTCTAAAGTGAGTTCAACCATCCTCCCATCAGCCTCCACTGCAAGTCGCTGCGCACTTCTTCCCGTGGCGCGTGAAAAGGTCGCAGTCGGCCTTCCTGAATTCAACGAAGGTGCCTGTCCATGCCTTGTAAGCCTATGCCTATGCAAATCTGAGATATAGCCTCGCTGTGTGAAATGACTATATAGGATACCCCCGCTATTCTTTGTTTTAAGTGGGTGCGTTGCTTGTTGCCTCCGCAACAGGTACAATCAGCTACATATGTGTGGCCACAATGCTCAAAGGACGGCTCAAAAGAAGGCACTCCTTGCGGATCCTCCCGGCAGAACCATCACCTGTCTCCATCTGTGCCAAAAGAGTCTGGAACGAAATGTCCGCTTCACCAGTTTGGGTAGCGGATCCACCTCACTCCGCCACCCCAGGCTTCAACGGACAGTGAGCTTTGCTGTCTTGATTGTATCCAAAGACGCTATTCTCTGTCCTGGTGAGGTGTCTTTGATTATCAAGCTAGTGAGCTCCAAAAGCGTCTTGGCGTGCTTGAACCGTTGATAGGTCGAAATTGCACGAACAAGCACCATGTAGCCATACCAACACATTGCCAAGCTTCGTATCTGGCACAATGCCCTGAATGTTCCAACCTGAGTCTTTTTGCCAATGATCTGCGCTCCGTGTTCAACATCTGCCACTTTAAACTCTTTCAAAAGCGAGCGAAAGGTGATGCGGAAAGTTTCTATGATTAAAGGGCCTTGCATGTCCTTCTTGCATCCACTTCCTGAGGTTGAGCTAGTAATTTCGTTATTGGAGGTTAAAGCTCCACCATCTTCGTTCTGTCCCGCTCGGACAACTGACCGGACTGTAATGCCAAGAGGCTATTTTGGCCATTGGCGCTGGATACCGTCACCTGCGGTGACGTCGGAAGAAGTCCACCAGCCAAGATCTGCGCCCTTTTGAATCCACTCTAATTCTATTGAATTCTTGTTTCTAGTAGCTTCTTGCTACTAGTAGTAAGGCCAGGAGCCCCTAGAAGCGTCCTTGCTCCTAGTAGCGATGCCCTTTGCTCCTAGTAGCGAACATTAGGCTTTTTCTTTTTTGCAGGCGCTCCAGGAGATGTAAGATATCGTAAGAGTCTCTCTCTCCCTCTCTGTGCCAATGATGAGGAAGGGATACCGTGCGGTTTCACCATCTTCAAAAGAAGTGGAAGATCGCCGAAAACTGTCCGAAAGACTAAATAAAGGATATATGATATATAAGATTATAAGATGTTTCGAACCCAAACCAGTCAAGGAGATGTGACTCCTTGGGGATAGATCGGATAGATGGATTGCGAAGAGTCACGGTATGTTAGGGTTGGTTTGGACCGCGGAATGACTAGTTTACCATGGAATCCTAGGAACCTCTCAAGAAGTAAATTCGAGTCCAAAGTACTCTGAACTCCGAACGCACCTAGGAGAACTCAAATTGCACATACGCATCCAGCAAGGGATGAAACTTGATTGGCTCTAAAAAATAAGCTTTGGATTTGCGTCTTTGACCGTGCATTCCGGAGTGCGTTTTGCCATCCAACTGAACCGCCCTTTCCAATGCCCAGAGGCGGTCTTCAAGGGTGCCAAGCAAGCCTTGGCGAGTTGGGACTAAAATGAGTGTGCATGAGGTGAAGAAGCAGCTGAAGCTGAAGAATAATAAGAGCTGAAGAAGAAAGACGGCATCTCCAGATTGAAATAAGAGATTTATCATTGTCAGTGCATCGGCCAATAATTTTTTCCGACCGAGCTGGGGGCAATTTGAATGCTCTGAGTTTTTGAGCCAAACGGCCCCTTTTCAATTCACCAGCTATGGCCCTAGGAAATCCGCCGACCCCTGCTTAGCTGACGCCTAGGCGGGGCGGCGCCCGCCGCAGTCTTGATCATGACGTTGCAGCCACGTCAACTTGTCTTTTCCCAAACCGGGCTTTTCCTGCAACGCACGGCTGGAGATTGTATCCTTTGCAATGGCATACTTGACCTGTTGCCCGCGCTTGCGTGCACATTCAAGCGCTCGCAGCTTATTGACGTGGTAGTTGACCGCATTCGTTGCAAGCACGGCTTTAGCTTCTCCCAGTCCCGGACTGCACGGGCTCAGCGTGTCGTCCAGCACTCGTCCCGCGGTCTTTCTTGGACTGCGAGCCCTGCCCCTGTGTGCTGCGGACGGATGCATCATGATGCATCATATCAATCATACTTATATGTACAAATATAGTATCTCCTATCAATTATGTCATATATCCGCCGACCCCTGCCTAGCTGACGCCTCGGCGGGGCGGCGCCTGGGACACCGCAGAATAACGGTGGCTCAACTTGCTCTCAGCCAGTTGCTCAGCAAGACCTGCCTGTGGCGATTACCTGGGCTTTGTCTGGCACCTCACGCGTTTGAGGCGACGTTAGGTATTCTCGCTCGTCTCGGCCCTGCGGCAGGCCTTCACTGGCTCTTTTCATTGGGTTTCGAAACTGCCCTTAGGCACCCTGCCAGGACAATATTTTGGTGGTTTTCGGTGTGCCATTAGCTGTGGAAGGCTGTGGCGAGTTCTTCCTCGTTTCTAAATTAGGCTTTCACTGCAGGTCCTTCCTACAAAAAGGGGTCGGCGGCACCAGGGCGAAGCCCTTACAATTTGAGTTTGATGGGTCTCATGTCAACAAATTACTCTATCTAGATATGTGGAGGGTCTCTTCCTAGTTTTTGACCGAAAAAATGCGTTTTGTAACCTCAAGCCAATGGTTGAAGTGACCTGAAATTTTGTTAAAGATAGCTTGTTACCTGTTTCTCGGTACTCTGGTCATCTTCCAAAGCCTGTCGGTCTGAGCCTCAGGCATGTCTTGGGGTGCGACATCTCAAAGAGGCCACCCATTTGCCCTGGAGAGAACGGCCGATATCTCGAAGTTCAATCGAAACCATTGGTTCATATTGTTTCATTAAAGGCATGGATATCCTTGAGCTTAATTTTGTGTGTGTGTGTTTTTTTTTCTGGAGTCGACTGTCATTGGATATTCTTACATTCATGTTTGTCTCGCTGATCGTTCTGAATAGTTGTCTTTGTTGCTTTCTGGAAGCCTACAGGTCCTCCCAACTCTCCCAGTCCTCATCGCAACACTAGGTTTTCTGTAATGAACACACAAGAAATCAAAGTCTCTTGCAATGTGTACTATTGCTGTTTCTTGCTTTTGTTTATTTTTCCAATGTGTCCCATTCCACCAAATTCTAAGGCTGCTGGTTGTTAGATCATGGCGAAAGTTTTGGTTTGAATCGATCAACATATGGGCAAACAAATGTTCCTCCAAGGTAATCCAGCAGACTGACTATATAATTAGAAATCCTGAATTCACAACATTGCTAGAAGACCTGGGCCGTGCTGATATTTGCTTCAATAAGTTGATGCTGCCAAACCACTTTGATGGAGGCTTGTGCCAATCCACCTTTTTTGTGACCACACTGGTGCAATATGTTGCTATCAATTCGCTGGCCCTGTTTAGCTACCAAATTGTGCTTACCGAACAGCCAGGCAACGTGAGTCTTTACCTGCAGGTGACTGGCGTACAGTCGGTCTTTTGCCTTCGCACAGCATGAGAGTCTTACATCTGCTGTGTAGGTTTTTTGGCAGTAGGAACAAGGACGCTACTTGGGGCTCCTGGCCTTACTACTAGGAACAAGAAGCTACTAGTAACAAGGGCATCGCTACTAGTAACAAGAAGCTACTAGTAACATTTCTGCTTAGCTGTCCACTACCAACTATTCAGATCTGACAAGCTGGATCCTAATGTCAACAACAAATTCAGTAGACGCCATCGACATTTCCGCAAGTGAGAGCAAACCCCCCAAACAACGGGAGGTTGACCTTATTGGATGACCCATGTGGTTCTGTGTGGCGAGTCCACCAGCGTCCACTTTTCGCAAATTTCTAGCCTGAACAGGTTCCTTTTCACCGAAATCGTGTTCCACAGGCGTTCCACAGTCACAGCGCCGTGCACAGCCCCCGACAGCGCCCGCTCCTTGAGGCATCGCACAATGCCTGTGGGAGCTCGGTTCCGCTCACAGCGCACCGGACAAACAAAGCCGTCCGGGACATTGCTGCCTCAGAGCCGCCAAGGCGCGAAGGGAAAGGAGGAAGCAAAATGGGTCTGTTAATTACTTCTATATTCCATCTGTCCTTTTTCCCATTCATGAAGGTCCTAACAAGAAATAGTCACTTAGTCGCCCCAAAAACGTAAGTCATTTTCATGCCAATCCGGTTTTGGGTCACTTGCAGCCATTCTTTCGGCGGCGACCAGGTGAGGTGCTACGTCCAGCCCTTCCTTTTTTCACCAGGCATGCCACGACAGTGCGTAGATTTGAGTCTTTCCAAGACTGTCATTCGGACACTTGGGTCGCACCATGTTGATACAAAGCATGTTGAAACAAAACCCACCCAAGAATCTAAAGCCTGTAATCCAGAACAGCCTAATACTTTGCGCCTTGTATGAAGCGAGCGTCGCATCTCCGATCTCTCCCTTCAAATGTTTTTGGCCAGTCCGAGCTTATCGAAAAATGTCTGTCTCTTAGCTTTGTTCCTAGTAGCGTCCTTGCTCCTAGTAGTGTCTTAGCCTCGTCGAAGCACAGCTTCGATCGCTTTGTGTTTGGGGCTATGAGTCAATATGAGACTTCCTGCATAGACCAGCTGAAGCATTGCCAAAACAGGGAGTGCAGTTTGTATGGAAAAACAGCACATCGTGGGGAATTGCTGCTCAAGAGGGGTGAACTTAGTCCACCTTTTTGTGGATCCAGCAGCATCCAAATGAGGTCGTGTAAAAAGAAACTCTATCTTTCCCTATACCACTTTGGACGTTATCGTGTTTTTCTTCCTTATCGTTTTACATCATTTTGACTAACTGCAACAATTGTAGTATTGCAGGTTTACAGCACCATGTGTCAGGACAAGGCTGTAACACAGGGCTAAAGCGGTCCAATCCAAGCCCTCCCACCTCCGTCCACGCATACCCACCAACCAGTCATGCATTGACCCTGACAATTTGGAACAGTAGGTTTGGTGTTTGTGTGCGCGCAAGCATTTTCTTCACACCACTTCTGGCATGTCAAGGGTTTTTCCACAAGAGTCATCGGGTGTCATCGTTTTTTCTTCCTATCGTTTTGCAGGGGATCAAGTATGTTACGGACATGCGAATACTGACTGATTTCTTACATGGTGTTTCTTTTGTACTCTCTCAAAATGCTGTTTTGGAGAACAGAACGTGGTTAATCCATCTTTAACTGCGAAAATAGCTGAAACCACCAACCACACAATGGCCTGCATTGTGCCGTGATGTACCATGTTCAATCATTCCAAGACGCAAAAGGCCTGGACCTTGTCATCTCTGATGGTTGAACGCTTAATGTTCTTGTTTGGCGGGCTAGCACCTGGGCTCTGTCTGCACTCCAGCTGTAGAGCTTTGCAGGGGAGGTCCGGGAGGTCCCGAAAAAAGGAAACACAAACACACACTTGGTCCAATTGAGTTTGCGATGCATTTCTTGATGCCGGATTGAAGAAATACACTATGTTAGGTAGCTAGTTTCAATCTTTTCTATTCAAATCCTTTCATGAAAGGGGCGGCGACGGACCGGCGACGGATCTCTCCGCAAGCGAGAGCATCCCAACCACGGTAGTCAGTGGGTCGAAACAGGAGAAAGTGGAGCAATTCTCCACGCACGCTGTCTCTCACCATTGGTCCGTCTTTCCTCCATTTTCTTCCCTGACATGTTTGGTTGGTTGGAGCAAATAAGTAATATGTGGACATCCAGTCCAAGTCGCAATCCTGGCGGCCCTCTGCTGGGGCAACTTGGAACCAAATCCAGCGACCAGTGCGGCCAAGTGAGCAAGGATGAATGACCTGAGTGTCAAATCATTCATGGCTTCACAGAAATTCGGCACACTGCTGTCTGAAGATAAATTCTACATGTCCAGACAGACAGCAAGAGAACAATACATGGTTGCCACTGGATTGGAATCCCTACCAACCCAGGATCAAGACTGTCGCAAAGCAGGTCTTCTAAGGCCCCACATGAGTCAAAAGGGTGTCAGAAAACGCCAGTCAAGGCACCTTTTTCCCTTCTTTTGTATGCCTTTACTACATGTCCACAGCGTGTGCCTTTCATCAATGTCTTTTCACGTTTTGTCGCCGAAAGACTCGTTCATCTCTGGTCTGCTGCCTGGCAATGTCTCGATGTGGGACGGGCGCCTCGACTAATGCTTATACGTTTGCTATGTTTCCAACTGGATCGATTGATTGATTCTGTATGATTGCGCACCCGTGGACAACATCTTGGCAAACTGTCTTTTTCTCTCATCAACTTCTCAGGATGTTCGTTCAAGTGCCAAAAAGGCTGACAGTTGACACCCGATGACCAGCACGAATCATCCTTAACTGGTGGCGTGTAAAACGAAACCCCAAACACCAGTTATTGAAAGTATTGTTGGCTTGGTTTGGAACCACAAAGTGGGCAGGTACCAGGTAGAAAGGTTGAAGAAGAGCAGCAACAGCAAACTGGCAGCGGCAGCGGAAACGGCAGCAGCGGCAACAGCGTGCAAGAACGCTCCAAGAAGCTCATGTATGCTCCTAGTAGCGTCCTTGATCCTAATAGAAAGAATGCTCCTGGTTCCTAGCAGGAGCCCCTAGTAGCTTCTTGCTCCTATAGGAGTGAGGCCAGGAGCCCCTAGTAGCGTCCGATCGCTCCCAGTAGCGGTGCCCCTTGCTCCTAGTAGCCTCATGTTCATGCGAATGGTCTGGATGCACAATCCCAGCACAAGAAGTGATGCAAAGAATAAGTGGACCGGGGGGGTCTTGATTGAGGGGCCCTTCCTTCACGATGAAGCATCTCTACTTTAGAGCTTGAAACTCTCAGGTGAATCTCAACTTCAGGCGAGGACTCAGGTGCTGATGCTACATGTCGAGAGGCAAGATTCTTGGTGATCATATGTGTTTGGCACCACTCGCGCCTTATGATGGCATCAGGACACGGCACCATCGCAGCAGGGGGATCCTTGGCAACCGATCATGGCTCCCCGGGCTAAGCCAAGAGGTTAAGTCGTGGGGAAAAAGGCCCTTAGTGGTAGCAGTCCATCACCATACATCACCCACAACAAACAAAAGCATGTCGAACTTCAATTTCCAAAATCTAGGAACCAAATGAGTAGTGCCAGAGCTTTCCTGCAGCCCTGTCTAGCCCTTACTACCGGCTACTTAGGCTCACCTCGCGGCCTACCACGTAAAAAAGAAAGGTCGAATCCAACCTTCAGAGCTTCAAGCTTTCCTTCGAGCGACTCAAATCCCGCCTGTAGGCAAACGCCATAATATGGACCCCTGTGGTCGGTGCACATGTTCAACTCCAGCTATGAATAGTTATGTCGTGCTCACACTAGTTGAAAAGGTTTGAACACCACTCTGAAGCCTTCAATTCAAAGACGACTTTCAATTCAGACCATCCAAGCGCTGTCCAGCGCCCTTTCCAGCGCCACTCTGCTTTAACTGCGCTTGCCAACGCAAAGTGAGAGCCGAACACGCCGAGGCACCAGTTGCTGACTGAGGCCCAACCACCCTGGACTGATGCCATCCAGCGCGATGGCCCAGATACTTCGAATAGGCCCTGAGAGGGAGCGCCAGTCCGAGTTGGACACAGGAGACGATGATCGATGACCTTGCTCCTAGTAGAAATGCCCTTTGTTACTAGTAGTTTCTTGCTCCTTAGCCTAGGCCAGGAGCCCCTACTAGCGTCCTTGCTCCTAATAGCAAACTATATTAGACCTTTCTTCCTTGTCTTTTTTTAGTATCGATGGCCCTCCCTAATAGCAACGGCCTCCGAATCCCGACTCTGTTTTGGTCGCATTGACCATCACATACTGCACTGCTCCATAACTGGCAAATTCGATCTGGTCCCAGAAAGGCTTGCGAGGGCTTTCTTCTGATCAGCTGCAATCCCTTTCCGTAGTCCCTCCAAGGAAAAACAACACCAAGAACGCCACTACCATCATCGTTTCGGCCAACCTGGGGCAACATCAGGGATGATGTCGTTCCGATTTGGATCCACTTCGCCCAAGGCAACCACGTGCAAGCTTGATCCGTCTGTCGCCTTAGGCGCGGCAACCCACATGGAATGGCCTTGGCCTCCAACCTATTATTGATGGCCTCCAACCCACTAGCGAGGTGTCGAAGAAATTTGGAATCCCTATCAGTTACTATCACAGATCAAAACACACAAGCTCTCATCATTCTAACCACATCAGATGGTCATCTACCTGCTAAAACTGACTTCTCCATTGATTTTTGCTTCAAATTTCCATCACTTCATCCAGCAAAAGCTCCCTCTTGGGTCGTGACACACAGTTTCGGGGATACAACAAGGTCTATTGGGTTCAGCCCTAGGTGGGTTCTGATGCTTTACATCTGTGAATGCTGGTTTGAGAAGAAGACTGTTGTAAAACACTTAAAACACTCTTGCTGGAGGCTGAAGACTTCTCTCTCTTCTTAATAAAAAAATGAAGTGTTCATCGTCGTCGCCCCAAAGTGATTTGGTCTGGGTGATCCGAATTTCAGCTGAGGCTCCTTGTCCAAAGGTGCCATGTCCGGATATCTCGTGTAGCAAGTGATACTGGTCGAGCTATCCAGGTCCAGCAGCAAGCCGGTCTTTCCGGTGCATCCACCTCTATCGGGGCCGATGTGGCAGAGTTCTTGACGGCAGCCCATCTGTAACTATTAGCATCGTTTGCTGGTCCTTGAAATAGGCCCTGCACCCAAAATTGACAAACCAAGAAACAGTTTAAATCAGTGTTGGGGGTGCCTTTGACAAGGTCAGGGGCCAAAATACCTTGTCACCTTGTCTTTGTTTTAAGGTCGACGAAACCAGGCAACCGAGCCAGACCCGAAAGCGGGCCGAAGCTTCTCTGCGGCACAAGCAGCGGAAGGTGTCACGAATCCAGCCGGTGATGCTCTGCAAAGTGGCCTCATGGCAATCCGAGCATGGAACCAAACAAACCGCATACATGAAGTCCATGTGTTAGCTAGATTTAGCTAGCACATGAAGGATACCAATGCACAGGATACCTTTAAAATCCTTTAAACATCGTTAACACATGTTGATTCGACTGGCACCACGAGGATTGCCGCTTGATTTGCATTGGTTCGATGCCTGGAGAATGACAAAAGCTTTGACGACCTGGACGCAGTCCAGCCAAAGTCTGGGCAGCGGTTGTGAAGGCCGCTTTGACTTTCACCACCAAGGAGGATGACAAGAGCCCTGCAGCAACACTTCCAGATGATCACGGTTTCCGGTTCTACAGTAGCCGAGGTTGCTATGAGAGCGCATGTTGCCCGGTTCCAGAAAAGCAATTAAGTTTCAAGTTGCTACTCATGTGAGTCTCGAATAAGGCTCTTGACTCTCTTGAGAAAGATTTGCTGGCAGAAGGAGCTTCGTGAAGTCGTTGCAGGCTGTGTTGAGGTCAGTGAGAAAAAGAGTGAGTTTGTTGCAATTGTGCGCTGAGTGACCCCGTATAGCTGAAGGAAAGCGGAGGCGCATAGGCGGGCCGGGGAGTGGATAATCTGTCAGTCCAAAGAGTCAAGGAGTGGAGCAAGGATTGAGTCACTCGGAGTGAGAGCGCAAGAAGGTGAGGAATATTAATACATTTATATTAATATATATTATTGTGTGCGTGGCGTGTGTATGAGTCGATGGTGATGAAAGAATCAATGAACATCAGAATGATAGGGGCATTGCCTGGGCTTGGATAGATGGACCCAACGGCTGTGAGTGAAGTGTGTTCGATGCATTGGGTCAGCGTAGTGGAGACAGTGTCTCTCTGAACAAATCAGTTTTCAACATGGCAAGGAACCCGGAAGTGTTTCCGATCTCGGGTCTTCTATCAATGCACCAGCAACTCGAGTCCGTGGGGTGGCCCGCTGGTCACCACTGGATGATGTTTGTGATCTGGTTTGTGATCAGTTTGCGGCCGGACAAGTTTCTGGATATCATGCGAGGTGCAAAGTAATGCAAGTTTCGACTGCAGTAAATGTTTCTGTTTCGACGACCAAGTTTGTTTGAAGGTCCAAGCAGCATCTGAACTGATACCCGTGGGGTGATCCACGTTACGCGCGGCCGCAAATTCTTGCTCATAGATCACTCCTGTGTGAATGCGCCAATAGCAGGGCTCATAAAACAAATCACTGATTGCTTAATGCTGAATTGCATTTGCATTTATACCAACCTCCCAGAAATGTTTTGGCTGAACTGGAGCTCGAATGCCTTGACATCCTCGGATGCTTATGGTTTTGATTGGTGTCTGACGCACACTGTGTGCAAAGGATCCAACCTGAAATCTACACTGCCAATGTATAGGAACTCATCATATATTGCTCCCACTCACAGCGCAGAACATGGCCATGATCCCACATGAAGGATGAAAACGGTAGAATCACCGGTCCCAATCCACCACTCTCAGAGGCCGGGTAGAGGACGCTACAGCAAAGGGCATCGCTACTAGGAGCAAGGACGCTACTAGGGGCTCCTGGCCTTACTACCAAGAACAAAGGACGCTATTAGGGGCTCCTGGCATCGCTACTAGGAACAAGAACGCTACTAGGAGCTTTTTCAATGCAAGAGGTCTCAGTCTCATCCCGTCTCAGGTCTGTGCCTCTGTGCCTGTCTGCCTGGCACCTGCTTGACCGCTCGCGCCCGGTCCTGCGGCATCTCGGACCTTTACGGTGCCCGTGGGTTCGCCACTCAGCGGCTCCCGTGAGAGGAAAAAGAGGCTCACACGACCGGGGATTCCCTGACCTCGAGAAGCGGCGAAGCGTCTGAGTGACGTTTGAAGATGATACGACTTGCTCAAGTGCAATCTAAAGCTGCAGTCTAGTAGTTTTGCATGGTGTCGAACGCTCTAAGCACAAGCAGTTCAACTCAATTTGCTTAATCATAGCACAAGGATTTTGTTGCACGCCTAGCAGCACTTGATGAACATGCTTATATCAGAAACAATATCGTTCCTGCAAGAAAAAATCACCAACTCTGCGCAGTGAATACTGGCTGATTATGGAATCCTTGGCTCTGTTGGACCCAACTGTTATCACTTCTTTTACCATGGTGCTTTTGTGTATCAGTTTGCTTTCATGATGTCTCACGGCGTTTGTAGGGCACAATTGCTTGAAGTTGCGGAGCAGTACAATGTTGTGTCTTAGCACGTCCTGTCTCAATTCCATTGGTACTTCCACGCTGGCTGGCTGTTGGCTTGCAAACAACTGGCATGAAAGCATCTTTGCCACAGTTCCCAATGCAGTCTGTGTGAAAACTGAAACCCATCAACTCTGCAAGCAACCCCTGGCTGCAAGGGTGGTACTTTGACCTGTCCAACCTCTGTGCAACAGTCCTTTAAAAAATTGTATACAAATGGTCAGCCTTTGTGATGGTATTCGCCGGACCCCCATTGAATAAAAAGACACCAGTGGTAGCGACCCTGGGAAGGCCTAATTCCTGATAGGGACACTGGCAAGCGTCACATTGATGCTTTGGCGGGTTCCATGGATGGACAAACGAACATAAAATAAACACTGTCAGAAGAGGTTTGCATTGAACAAAGGGGCAAGACCGGGAAAGAGTAGTCAAGAATAACGTATGCCAATCCTTTTTGTAGTTGCTCGTTGTTGAGCACCTGTCGCAGGGACAAACAGGAATCTCTTTCTGGGCCTCAGCTTTGATTCCGCTCAGGTTTCGCTGACAAGATTGGTTCCTGCGTGGTTGTTCCCACACTTATGAGTGTGGGTGCTCTATGTGGGCCCGCGCGTGCGCGCACCAAACCTGAAGACTTGTGTACACAGTATTTTATTTGGCGCACCCGCTTTCTTTCCGAAATCCGATGAGAAAGATGCAGTACCATCGACAACACGCTCGGTCAGCATCTTGTCGATAAGTATCAATGATATATATTATATATATATATATATATCGCACATGCATGTGTATCCTGAACACGGTGATCAAGATTAAATTCTAGCAGGGAATGCCCGGTCTGCTGGCTCAGGATGGAAATGTCATAGGAAAACGAAGCAATGCACTTGTGGAACCGAAGTGGCTGTTGCCATTGCGATATGCAACATGGTGACTGTGCTGAAATGCTCTGCGGCTACTCATATAGTCAGTGATCTGTGCAGCGCCGAACCCGCCGAACCCACTGCACAGCTCTACCCGAAGCAGCTGTTTGGGATGGGAGACTGGCGATGCTATGAAAGCGGGGCCACAAGCAGAAGACATAGGCTATTCCTAGAGAAAAAATGTCCAGCTAGAATTCTTGACTCGGAGGAGTATATTTATGTAGCATATCCTGTCTAGAGTCTAGATAGTGTCTGAAATCTCTTTAATTATGTGCACCAGCATTTGGAACTGCCTTTATAATTATGATATCTAAGTACATAGCTTGTTGAGCATCTTTGGATATCTTGTTTGGATATCATATATCTAGAAATCCCTTTCGGATAATTACTATATCGTGACTTGCCACAGGCAATTCATGACATTCCTTCTAGACCTCTCTGCTTGTATGAGCATGTGGAGATACATACGTATCCCTATCGAGGAATTGATACGCAAGAGTCTCCTACGTCAAGCACGAGCACACTAGAAGAGTGTTCACTCAAGGCGAGATTGCAGCTTGGTTCTATTAATTCTCTCTTTGGAGGCGTTACGGTTTGCTTCTTGTCCTTCCTAAACACGCAGTCACATTGCCTTTGGGCTCTCCAAGAAAGCTGCGAAGAGAGATGATGCGATGAGGGAGAACACGGACACATAGAGAGAGACAGAGAGAGCAGGGGGGCAAGGAAGAGGCCATGCAGCCTTTCTGGTCCACGGGTCCAATCGTAAGCGTGGCCACCATGGCCATTTTCGCCGTAGAAAGGTCTAAAAGTAGCTTCTTGTTCGTAGTAGTAAGAATGCTCCTAGTAGCGATGCCAGGAGCCCCTAGTAGCGATGCCCTTGCTCCTAGTAGTAAGGCCAGGAGCCCCTAGTAGCGTTCTTGCTCCTAGTAGTAAGGCCAGGAGCCGCTAGTAGCGTTCTTGCTCCTAGTAGTAAGGCCAGGAGCCCCTAGTAGCGTTCTTGCTCCTAGTAGTAAGGCCAGGAGCCGCTAGTAGCGTCCTTGCTCCTAGTAGCGATGCCCTTGCTCCTAGTTAGTAGCGATGCCCTTGCTCCTAGTAGTTTCTTGTCCCTAGTAGTAAGGCCAGGAGTCACCAGTAGCGTCCTTGCTCCTAGTAGCGATGCCCTTGCTCCTAGTAGCTTCTTGTCCCTAGTAGTAAGGCCAGGAGTCACTAGTAGCGTCCTTGCTCCTAGTAGCGATGCCCTTGCTCCTAGTAGCTTCTTGTCCCTAGTAGTAAGGCCAGGGGCCACTAGTAGCGTCCTTGCTCCTAGTAGCGATGCCCCTTGCTCCTAGTAGCGATGCCCTTTGTTCCTAGTAGCTTCTTGTCCCTAGTAGTAAGGCCAGGAGCCACTAGTAGCGTCTTTGCTCCGAGTAGCGATGCCCTTTGTTCCTAGTAGCTTCTTGTCCCTAGTAGTAAGGCCAGGAGTCACTAGTACCGTCCTTGCTCCTAGTAGCGATGCCCTTTGTTCCTAGTAGCTTCTTGTCCCTAGTAGTAAGGCCAGGAGTCACTAGTAGCGTCCTTGCTCCTAGTGGCGATGCCCTTTGTCATAGTAGCTTCTTGTCCCTAGTAGTAAGGCCAGGAGCCACTAGTAGCGTCCTTGCTCCTAGTAGCGATGCGCTTTGCTCCTAGTAGCTTCTTGCCCCTAGTAGTAAGGCCAGGAGTCACTAGTAGCGTCCTTGCTCCTAGTAGTAAGGCGAGGAGCCACTAGTAGCGTCCTTGCTCCTAGTAGCGATGCCCTTGCTCCTAGTAGCTTCTTGTCCCTAGTAGTAAGGCCAGGAGCCACTAGTAGCGTCCTTGCTTCTAGTAGCGATGCCCTTTGTTCCTAGTAGCTTCTTGTCCCTAGTAGTAAGGCCAGGAGTCACTAGTAGCGTCCTTGCTCCTAGTAGCGATGCCCTTTGTTCCTAGTAGCTTCTTGTCCCTAGTAGTAAGGCCAGGAGTCACCAGTAGCGTATTTGCTCCTAGTAGCGATGCCCTTTGTTCCTGGTAGCTTCTTGTCCCTAGTAGTAAGGCCAGGAGTCACTAGTAGCGTCCTTGCTCCTAGTAGCGATGCCCTTTGTCATAGTAGCTTCTTGTCCCTAGTAGTAAGGCCAGGAGTCACTAGTAGCGTCCTTGCTCCTAGTAGCGATGCCCTTTGTTCCTAGTAGCGTTCTTGCTCCTAGTAGTAAGGCCAGGAGCCACTAGTAGCTAGTAGCGATGCCCTTTGCTCCTAGTAGCGTTCTTGCTCCTAGTAGTAAGGCCAGGAGCCACTAGTAGCGTCCTTGCTCCTAGTAGCGATGCCCTTTGTTCCTAGTAGCGTTCTTGCTCCTAGTAGTAAGGCCAGGAGCCACTAGTAGCGTCCTTGCTCCTAGTAGTATGGCCAGGAGCCCCTAGTAGCGTTCTTGCTCCTAGTAGTAAGGCCAGGAGCCACTAGTAGAGTCCTTGCTCCTAGTAGCGATGCCCTTTGTTCCTAGTAGCTTCTTGTCCCTAGTAGCAGGGCCAGGAGCCACTAGAAGCGTCCTTGCTCCTAGTAGCGATGCCCTTTGTTCCTAGTAGCTTCTTGTCCCTAGTAGTAAGGCCAGGAGCCACTAGTAGCGTCTTTGCTCCTAGTAGCGATGCCCTTTGTTCCTAGTAGCTTCTTGTCCCTAGCAGCAAGGCCAGGAGCCACTAGTAGTGTCCTTTCTCCTGGTAGCGATGCCCTTTGTTCCTAGTAGCTTCTTGTCCCTAGTAGTGAGGCCAGGGGCCACTAGTAGCGTCCTTGCTCCTAGTAGCGATGCCCTTTGTTCCTAGTAGCTTCTTGTCCCTAGTCGTAAGGCCAGGAGCGTCCTTGCTCCTAGTAGCGATGCCCTTTGTTCCTAGTAGCTTCTTGTCCCTAGTAGTAAGGCCAGGAGCCTCTAGTAGCGTCTTTGCTCCTAGTAGCGATGCCCTTTGTTTCTAGTAGCTTCTTGTCCCTAGTAGTAAGGCCAGGAGTCACTAGTAGCGTCCTTGCTCCTAGTAGCGATGCCCTTTGTTCCTAGTAGCTTCTTGTCCGTAGTAGTACCAGGAGCCACTAGTAGCATCCTTGCTCCTAGTAGCGATGCCCTTTGTTCCTAGTAGCTTCTTGTCCCTAGTAGTAAGGCCGGGAGCCACTAGTAGCGTCTTTGCTTCTAGTAGCGAGGCGATGCCCTTTGTTCCTAGTAGCTTCTTGTCCCTAGTAGTAAGGCCAGGAGCCACTAGTAGCGTCCTTGCTCCTAGTAGCGATGCCCTTTGTTCCTAGTAGCTTCTTGTCCGTAGTAGTA